TTTTTTTTTCAAACTAAACAAATTAATATTTTTTTAAAATTATCAACTTTTATGAATTCTTATAATTTTCAAAAATACGTTGTAATTTTGCTAAGATTCATAAATATTACGGTTTGACTGTCTAAGATATTTGTGACTACCAAAATGCAATATCAACTTTTTTGGAAAAAAGTAGGAAAACTGCATGTTTAAAAAATATTATCAAGAATGGTTTTCGCGGATGCAAAACTGAATTGATTGTGGAGAATACTTACAGGGAAACTCACAGTGAACGCCTTTTTTCGAGACGTACGTATTAAAATTATCAGATTCGCAGAAAACATTATTTGTCATTTTTTAATACTTTTGAAGTAAAAAAATTTCATGAACACTAAATTTGCGTATACTTATTTAATAATAAAAAAAAATTCTTACATGATGCGATTTTTAGGTACAGATGACACTGTATACAGGGTGGCTCCTAGTATAAGTAATTTGACAATGATAAATTATCGCATAACCGTAATTTCGAAAAGTTTGAGAAAAGACTTTTTCCAGGGATTGTTTCATTTAAAATACCATCGCATTGATATTTTGAATTATATATGTCAACCTAATTATTTATTAAAACTATTTTTCAAAGCAATTACTATAATGATACCTACATTATTAATGTTGACAATAAACAAACGATTAGTACTTGTGCGTACATCAATTACTTAATAGTTAATAATTAAATGTACGATAACTATCGTCTGTATTATATGGATTATATATCTTTTGACCCAATCGTTTAAATAATATACATAATTCATTTGAAATGGCAATTGTTACAAATAAATAAAATAAATATTAGATGATACAATTTCAAAAGATATTGATGGCAATATAAATCAAAACCTATCATTTAGATAATTTGAATTAAACAATAATAATTATCATAAATTATTTACAAATAGTTTTCATTTTATTAATGAATTATTGACGTAAATTTTCAATTAATTAAAAAAAAAAAAGAATAAAAACAATTTTTGATGTTTTATTAATACATGAATGGTTTAACAATCTAGTCAATAAGGATTAATAGTATTAATTATTCAATGTATACCTACATTTCTTTAGATTTCAAAGTCCAAACAAATTTGGATTTTTAGAATTAGAATTTTTTGAATACCCGATTATAACTCATAGGTATATGGAATCTCTAATATACTGGTTTTTAAGCTATTGCATAGCTTCTATCGCGGGCTTTGAGCGTGACGACCGAATCAAGAAATTCCATAATTCCGTAACGAAAATAAAATTAACACCCCCCACTCCGACCGGCACAGCGGTGCGGTGTTTTTAAAGTCGTGGAAATTTTTATTCGACCCTATTCGTATTAGTATGAAGCGGAGTTAAATGTACGTCTGCGGACTGGAACATTTATGCAATACAAGATCTAGAAGAGCTTTCTCTGGCTTCTAATAAATTGGTATCACAAATGTTCCCGGCTAGCGTAAATATTAGATATTAATTTTTTTTGCAAAATTTATAATAGTGTATTATGCAACGATCCTGTAATGATGGTTATTAATACACGAGCATTAACCGGGATACGAAACGAGCCAAAGGCGAGTTTCGTATGGTTTATGCGAGTGTTTTAATAACCATTACATGAGAAATGCATACGCTATTTATTCTACACCCGATAAATAATCAAGACCTATTATTATATTTATATTGGTATTGAACACAATAACAGTAATTACTCGTATTTCTATAAAAAATTCTACAAAATTGTAATTAATGGTATTACTTCGAGTATTGGTATTTCCCTAGATTTTTGCGGCAAAATATTTTGTACTGTATTTTCTGCTTTCTCCGATATGTGTGGAGGAGTCTTCTATATCGCTGATATCAGACCATAAGTGGGTATTCTCTTATTTGAATGATATACTCCAATCTGTTAAAATCTTAATTAATAGACGTATCTTTAAATCTAAGGTGACGAATAGAAATGGAGTCCCACAAAGATCAATATTGGGCCCTTTATTATTTATTCTGTATATCATTGAATTACCTTTTGTCTTACTTACATCTCTATATTCTGATGACACGACATTGTTATTTAGTAGGAAATGTTCAGATCTCTTTATAAATAAAATTTCAAATAATTTTCTACTTATGTTATTTTGGGAATGGGGTGTTAATTAATACACTGCTACCTAAAAGATATATTGTGCCCCATTCTGTCGCTAATGCAGCAAGAAAATGTCTCAATAATTTTCTACTTGCTTTTCTGTGCAATAAAAGAAGTTGTTATTTTAACATAAAAGTTTAATGGAACGTTTTTAAGTGTAAAAAAAACTAATTATTGTTGCATAACATTTTATGCTCTGTTATTATTTATTATAGTCGATGAAATTAACAGTAAAAATGAAATAACTAATAACAAAGTCACTTTTAATAAAACTTTCACCTTATATTATATTTTCCACACACGTACTTATCGCTCTTTCTAAGCTAAATACAGGTAGTAATTTTCATTTTATTAACCAAGAATATTTCAATATTAAACTTTCTTTGCTGCTACGTTACATTAACACAGATCGAGTCGCTGAACCCTACAACCTATTGTAAAATGTTAACCAATTAAAATATCAGTGGAGAGTACAATGCTTGAATGCTTGAGTAACTGCTTTGATAAAATTGTTTGTACCCGTACCTCAGTGACAAAGGAAAACTAAAGTTTTTAACATTACTCAAGGTCGTGTGGATGATTCAATAAACGAGAAGATTAAATAAGTGGTTTCCTTTATATTTTTAAAAGAAATGGATTTATTTATTCGGTTTTTATTACAGAAATGTCAAGTAGAATGATTTTTTTAAACTACTGAACTTATTTAATCATTTTTTTCAAGCAATGTCAAGTAGACTGGTTAATTGTTGAACCGGGTATACTGTACACTTAATAGTATGCATTGAGGTTGAGATAGAATCATTGATTTGGCAACATCAATGAATAGAATAATTACGAATTCTAAATATTAACCGTACACAAGAATTCTGCAGTTTTTGAATTCTTCCATACTCGAATATGTTTAAATATGGACCATATACAATATCACAATGATTAAAATTTGATAATACTAGTGAATCACATAATATTTTTTTTTACATCTAGTGATAGAAAATATCGTTGCGCATATATTTTAATTTTGATGTAATATGTTGTTCAAACTTCAATTTTGAATCTACAGTAAGTCCTAAGTTTTTACATTGCGTAACAATTGGGATAAACGCATCATTAATTTTTAATAATGTCGATGAGTTTACGGAATCCCTAATTGACTCATTACAAAAAATCATTGCTTTTGATTTTTTAGGATTAATTTTTAGTGAATGATTTTTAGATACATTAAAGATTTCAATTAGATCAGAATTAATATCCTGTATAGATTCATTTAAATTGGAGTACTTAAAAGAATAGTATAATTGGGTATCATCAGCGTATAAATGATAATTACAGTATTTAAGAATACTTGGAAATGGGCCCGTTCACTTTCATTTTTGAATGTGAATTAATTATATATTTATAAAGATATTAAACTCTTTTGTCTGGTGGTACTTTTCCCGTTAAGATATTTTTGCTAGAAGTAAGGGAATTCCCATAAAATTCTTTCAGTGACTCATTGCGTCAGAAAATCTCTAATTCCGTTCACGTCTCGTATCGGTTATGCTTAAAGACGGCGAGGTTGTCGGAAGTATCCCTAATATAGCATTTCTGCATTTATATATGTAATTTAAATAGCAAAATTCCATTATTTTTCTAAAAATCATGAACTTATATTTTCAGATTTAAAGCTGGGAGCTTATTTTTTAATTTTAAATTAAAACAATTATTTATTACTCAGGCTGAAAATTAACCAGACCATAATCAAAAAGTAGAAATTTGATTTGCAATATTTATCTGGTAAACGTGGCAACGTTGCATTTATTTCTAGAAGTGTGTGTAGACAACACTATTTAGAAGCACTTACAACGTTGTCACGTTTACCAGATACATTTTCTCAAATAAAATTTCGATCTGGTAATATTCAGCTTGAGTAATACTAATTGTTTTTATTAAAATTTAAAGAAGGTAAGGCTTCCAGCTTTATCTGAAAATATAAACACATTATTTTTAAAAAATAATATATTTTTATCATGTAAATTTCTTTAATAAATGCAGAAGAGGAATGGTGGTGCAATGATACATCCGACAACCGCGCCCTTTTAATTATTGACCGATACAAGACCTGAAGGGAATTAGGGGTTTTCTGACGCAATGAGTCACTGAAAGAATTTTATGGGAATTCCCTTTTACTTCTTGCAAAAATATCTTAACGGGAAAAGTACCACCAGACAAAAGAGTTTAATATCTTTATAAATATATAAATAATTCACATTCAAAAATGAAAGTGAACGGGCCCATTGTGAGGTATAGAGAGTAAATAATAAAGGGCATAAAATACTACCTTGAGGTACACCAGATGTAATCTCCAACTGTGTGGAAGACTTATTATCTATTTGAACAATTTGTTTTCGCTGGTAAAGATATGATTTTAATAGAGACACAGATGTATTATTAAATCTAAAAAACTTCAACATGGCAAGTAAAATTTTATGATTTATATTATCGAAAGCTTTCGAGAAATCTAATAGTAATAAGATAGAAATCTTGTCTTTATCCATGGATCTAATTAAATCATCTATAATATCCGCTAGAGCTGTAGCACAGCTGTAGCCTGACCTAAAACCAGATTGTTTACTAGGTAATATATTGTTGTTTTTCAAAAACCCTCTATTTTGAATTTCCATTACTCTCTCTAATATTTTGGAAAAAACAGGTAAAATACTAATTGGTCTTAAATCACTGTATTCTTCAGTTAAAGTTACTTTTGGTAAGCGCAAAACTTTAGCGAATTTCCATGACTCAGGAAAATATGTCACCCTAATAATTATATTTATATATTGATTATTTGTTTGTCTTGTTTCAGGTTACAAGCGTACAAGTGCTCCAGTCTTTCATAGATAGAATAAACGAAGTTAATCCAGTTCTCAATTGCGTAGTAGCCGATAGATTCGATGAAGCCAGAAAAGAAGCTCAAAAAGCCGACGAACTGATCGCGTCCGGTGTTATACCGGAGGAGAAACTTGCTCAGGAAAAACCGTTTTTAGGCGTACCGTTTACCACAAAAGATTGCATTCCGGTCAAGGGTAAGAGATCTTTAAAAAATGTGTTAAATTAGTAAAAAGAAATTGTAAGAAAACCATAAATAAGATGATAAAAATGAAGTTATATAAATCAGCAATTATTATTCTATAACTAACGAACTAATAAGAAATATTCTTGTTTTAATATATACTTATTTGTAACAAAAATTAACTTTTTTTGCTTTGACTTTTTATTGACAAATTATAAAAATTATCTGTGACAAGACAATGAATGTTTAAAATACATTTAAACATAACATAAATCTTAAAATCATTTAAATTTAAATGCCGGACCTGTGCTAACCCACAGTGTGCATAGGTGACGTGAGCAATCGAACGTAACGGCATTATGCATTGTTAATTTTAACTCGACGCCTGAAGACAAAAAGTTTCCAAGGTGAGCCACTTCTCGGCCTGTGAGAGGATGTCTCGGTTGTCGACTCTATGCATCTCTCTTCCTAGCAAGGCGAGCAAAAGATTCAGATCGTTCTGAGCTTTGGTAGAGGCCGGATGGACTCACGTACAAAGTTGTACTTTTATTTTTTTATAATTAGTTTCTAAAGTATCGCATTATTAGCATAAGACAACAGTGTTACAGGACCGCATTCACAATTTGTGTTGGGTTTTAACTTTTTGTAAATACAAACCCGCACAGAGAAGATATTGTGAAAATAATAAATTGACTAATACAGTTTGGACAATATTTTTTGAAATTTATTTAGATAATCATAATTTACAATTCTGGGGGTTATTTTGATGACCTGGTGACCAATTCTAAAATCCCACTAATGTCCTAAGGATGCTTCTCCAGTGAGAAGACTTCTTCCACCTTATTTTAGGTCCATTAGCCAATAGCCAGTTGCTTTTCAGTCTTCTATTGTGGTTGGATTAGTGTGTTAGTATGTTATTCAAATTTTTGGTGATGCTTTTTGCTAAATTGTCTCTTGAACTGTTGTAATTTGTAGGTCTTGATGTAATATATATCAGGGAACGTCTTCTATTGCTTGCAAAATCTTAGACTGCGCCCTTTGTAAAACTGATCCCCAGAATTATATGCCATATATCCAAATTGAAATAATTATAGCTTTATATATTAATATTGATTTTCTGCCTATAAGTCAATACAATTTTTTTCTTTTTAGTCCTATTTGTTTACGTTTGTTAATTATGTAAACTTTTTGGTATCTAAATGAATTACTAGTTATTTAATAGACAATAGGGCATCTTTCTTTTATTAACGTAAATGCTTTCGTTTATTTTTATTTTCCACTTTTCAACGCATGCTTCTAATTTGAAGAGATATCCGTGGAGATTTGAAGACTCAGCTATAGAATTTTAATGGATTGCAAGAATAACAGTGTTATTTGCAAACCTGCATGTTGTGGTATCTTCGGAGATTGGAGGGCTGACGTGTATATTAAATACAATAGTAGCTCTAAGACGCCGTCTTGTGGAACTCCAGATTTGATTTGATTGTGAAGTGTTATCGTGTACCATAATGTAGTAGTTTAAGAGGAACAGCTGGTCTTAAGAAATTGCAAGATTATGATTCATATTTTTTTATTGGCTACCAAGAGGACTTTATTTAAATTGAGTCTGTTGTTATTGCTTACATAATCATCGTTGAATTTATACTAATATTGGATACACTGTATAACATGAAACAAAAGCTTGTTTAATTATTTTAGATTTAAGTTCACCTTTTGATTTATCTCTTTTATCATTGACACATGGGACATGGCGATAAACAGATCAAATGTACCCATGCCCTACTTTAAATGTGGTAATCATTGCAACGAGCTAAAAAACTAAGTCTATAAATATATATAAACAAATTATAGTTACAATAATACATTGATAACAATGGGAAGCGTGTCTAATCTGTAATTTTTCATAGATACGCTAATTTTTTAGCCGTTTTATCTTGGATCTCTGCCATAGTATATTAAAAATGAGTTTTTTCACGCAAAGCATTACATTTATTACTTTTGATCCTCATCCAACCCAGTGGCGCAGCAAGGGCGGGTTTAGGGGTGAAACCCCCCTCACAGACGTGAACCCATACGATTTTGAAATTTAAAAAGTTTAACTACGTAAAAAATTATTATATCTTTTAAATACTCTGAATTTTTTTTAAAACCCTCCCTCACACAAAATTCTGGCTGCGCCACTGATCCAACCACCGGCTATGACTACAGATTCCATTATAGATTGGAATCGAGAATGTCTATTTCGTGCTGATACAACAGATACAATGTTATCCATTAGTCCGCATTCTTCCATTTCTGTCACATAATCTCTATCGTTTTGGTCTCTTTTACAAAAATATTGTGCGCAGTTTGAATGCTTTCCAAATGTGTGGTAAGGAGAGTTTTTAATGTCTGCAGTCAGTGTTGCCAGAATATATTTTTGTAATGTACCAGATTTATCTAAAAAATGTACCAGATTTCATAAAAATGTACTAGATTCTATAAAATTACCAGATTTTTCTAATTATGAGGTATGGTCATTAAAGAGCAAAAAAAGGTTTATAGAGAACACGAACACAATAATTTTAAACAATATTTTATCTCTCGACAAATTTTTGACACTATTTTATCTCTCGAGCAGTTTTTGAATAAGATTTTAATACCTTTTAATACTCTTTTATCTCTCGATAAATTTCTAACAATATTCTATCTCTTGAGCAATTTTTAACAACTTTTTTTATCCCTCGAGCAATGTTTGTACAATATTTCTTGTACAATTTTTAACATTATTTAATCACTCGAGCAATTTTTAACAGCCTTTTTTTACCTTTCAAGCTATTTTTGAAAAATATTTGATCTCGTGCAATTTTTGAGCAAAATTTTAACAATTTCTAACACTATTTTATCTCTCGAGCAATTTTTGAAAAAGATTTTAATACCTCTTGGTATTATTTTATCTCTCTTTAAATCTTTTTTATCTCTTAAGCTATTTTTAAAAAATATTTTATCTCTCGATAAATTTCTAACAGTATTCTATCTCTCGAGCAATTTTTAACAACTTTTTTTTATCCTTCGAGCAATGTTTCTACAATATTTCTTGTACAATTTTTAACACTATTTAATCACTCGAGCAATTTTTAACAGCCTTTTTTACCTCTCAAGCTATTTTTGAACAATAATTGATCTCTCGTGCAATTTTTGAACAAAATTTTAACAATTTCTAACACTATTTCATCTCTTGAGCTATTTTTAAACAATATTTTATCTTTCGATAAATTTCCAACAGTATTCTATTTCTCAAGCAATTTTTAACAACTTTTTTTTATCCCTCGAGCAATGTTTGTACAATTTGAACACTATTTAATCACTCGAGCAATTTTTAACAGTTTTTTTTTACCTTTCAAGCTATTTTTGAACAATATTTGATCTCTCGTGCAATTTTTGAACAAAATTTTAACAATTTCTAACACTATTTCATCTCTTGAGCAATTTTTGAAAAAGATTTTAATACCTTTTGATATTATTTTATCTCTCGAACAGTTTTTAAATATTTTTTATCTCTTGAGCTATTTTTAAACAATATTTTATCTTTCGATAAATTTCCAAGAGTATTCTATCTCTCAAGCAATTTTTAACAACTTTTTTTATCCCTCGAGCAATGTTTGTACAATTTGAACACTATTTAATCACTAGAGCAATTTTTAACAGCCTTTTTTACCTTTCAAGCCATTTTTGAATAATTGATGTCTCATGCAATTTTTGAGCAAAATTTAAAAAAAAAGATTTAACACCTTTTGATAATATTTTATCTCTCGAACAGTTTTTAAACAATTTTAAACAAATTTCTAACAGTATTCTATCTCTCGAGCAATTTTTAACAACTTTTTTTATCCCTCGAGAAATGTTTGTACAAAATTTGTTGTACAATTTTTAACACTATTTAATCACTCGAACAATTTTTAACAGCTTTTTTACTTTTCAAGCTATTTTTGAACAATATTTGATCTCTCGTGCAATTTTTGAGCAAAATTTTAATAATTTTTAACACTATTTTATCTCTCGAGCAATTTTTATTAACATTACCTTTCTAACAATTTTTAAACAATGTTTTATCTCTTGAGAAATGTTTAACAGTATTTTTTAATTCTCGAGTAATTTTTGAATAAGATTTTAATGAATTATGATACTATTTTATCTCTCGAATAGTTTTTAAACCTTTTTTATCTCTTGAGCTATATTTTAACAATATTTTATCTTTCAATAAATTTCTAACATTTATTCTATCTCTCGAGCAATATTTAACAACTTTTTTATCTTTTTAGCAAGCTGCTCAATATTTTAACTCTCGACAAATTTATGAAAATATTTTAACTCTCGATAAATTTTTAACAATGGTTTATATCTCGAGCAATGTTTGTACAATATTTTATCTCTCGAGCATTTTCTAATAGCATTTTATCGTTCGAGAAATTTTTAAACAATGTTATATCTCTTGAGAAATTTCTAATAGTAGGTATCTCTTGAGTCTATTTTGAACAATATTTTATTTCTCAACAAATTTTTCAATAGTATTTTATTTCTCGAGCAATTTTTGAACAAGGGTTTAACATTTTGTAATACTATTTTACCTCGAGCAATTTTTGAACACGATTTTAACAAATTATAATACTATTTAATCTCTCGAAAAATTATTAAATATTTTTATCTCCCATTAAATTTCTAACAGTATTTTAATCCCTAGAGCAATTTTTGAACAATATTTTATCCCTCAAGCAATTTTTAATACTATTTTATACTTCGACCAATTTTTAACACCCTTTTTTACCTCTCAAGCCATTTTTGAACAATATTATTTGATCTCTCGTGCAAATTTTAAACAATGTTTTATCTCTCGAGAAATGTCTACTATTTTATATCTGAAGGAATTTTTAACAACTATTTTAATTTCTCTTGCAATTTTTGACCAATATATTTTACACTTCAAATGGAAACATACGCTGAAAAAAGTACTAGATTTTGTTTCGAGTGTACTTGAGTACCAGATTCTCAGAGAATGTACTAGATCTAGTACAATTGTACTAGACTGGCAACACTGTCTGCAGTTAATTGCTTCACATTGTCAATATCACTGGTATTTCTTCTGTGGTAATTTACAGCCGATTTAATTACCTATCACTCAACATTTTTTTTAGTCATGGACTTACTGTTTTGTTTTTTGAAGTGTATTTTTTTTCTAGATCACGCAAATTTGTGCAATAATTCCCGAGAAGATGGTTTATGCATTCTACTATGCGGTTTAGTTTATCGTGCGATGAAGCAAACGAAAATTACAACTAAATTCTTTCAAATGATTTGTAATAAGCAGATCAAGTACTTAAATATAGACGAGGGTATTTGGATGATTATTATTTCATTGCAGTTAATAAGAACAATAATTCAAACCATTATTGTGAAATTGGTGATTCACTAAAGACTTAATTGATGAACTGCTTACGTAGGAACAGCAATTTTTAATTATACTACTGCGACAAATTGTAAAATTATTTTAAAAGAAAACAAATGCGAACATTTAAAAATAATAGTTCTAATAATTTTCGTGTAGATTCATTAAAGAAACTTTTCATTCTAGAATGTAATGTACAATTTTATTCCTGTTCATCTAAAAAAAGGGGATAAAATAAAAAATAGGAGTATAATTAAAATATTTATTAATGCAAAACGTAGATTTACAATAAATTATATTACATTTTCCATACCTAGGAAAAACTTCGTCAAAAAATCAACCGCTATGAATCTCCCTGAATATCAATTGAGGGACATTCGAAGAATAATTTACGATTTTCATATAACAGAAAAGTCTCGTGTTACTGTTAAAAGGTTAAATAATAAAATTAAGAAAGATTTAGATATCCACATATCAGAAACTTCATTAAGAAGAGTCCTTAAAAAATTAATAATTTAAATGGAGAAAAACACAAAATAATCGTAAAGTTTTGGTGGAAAAAATGAAAATAAGAACTTTAAGAGTAAAATATTTGAGACAGATAAAAAATTTTAGAAGTCAAAATAGACCAATCGTTTATTTAGAAGAAACATATACACAGCGGACATACTTCTTCCAAGAAATGGACAGACGATTCAACAAAAGGTTTGTTTCTAAAGGCCAAAGGCTTATTATAGTTCATGGTGGGGGAGAAATGGGTTTTATCAAAAATAGTTTGTTGATACTCAAATCAGGGAGCAAGTCTGGAGATTATCATTCCGAAATGAATTCAGAAAATTACGGCAAATGGTTAAGAGAGTAGTTAATAATCTTCCAACTAATTCAGTAATTGTTTGTGATAATGCTAGTTATCACAATGTACAGACAAATCGAGCACCTCATTCCAATTCTTTGAAGAATGATATGATCGAATGGTTGACAAAATACAACATACCTTTTAATCCAACAAGTTTGAAACCAGAGTTCTATGAACTGATTAAATCTCATAAGGACCGATATGTAACATATCCATTTGATGAGTTGTGTCGAGAATACGGCCACACCGCTTTACGGTTACCCCCATATCACCCCAACTTGAACCCTATCGAAGTGTTTTGGGCAACTGTTAAGAATAATGTCAGTTAAAAGAATGTTACCTTAATATTAGAAGACGTAAGACAATTAGCAGAAGAGGAATTTAACAAAATCGGTATGGAGGAATGGAAAAAGCGATGCGATCATGTTATAAAGGTAGAAGATAAATGTTTTGAAAGAGAAATACAAACTGATTTATGTTCGGAAATTAATCCTATCGTCATTAATCCTAATGAGGATTCCAGTGACGACAGTGATAGAGAGAGAGAGAGATATGCTTTATTGTCGTAAAAAAATTTACAAAAATTTTATAGACAAAGCGTGTAACTTAAATACTAAACATATTATAAAAATAACTAAACAGCAGAAAAAACAAACAGAAACAAACAGACAAAATAGGAATAACAATTGCAATGGATATGCAATATCCGTCATTATAATTATTCTAATTTAATTTTTAAATTTAAATTTAAACTTTAATATTTAATTATTTAATTAATGCCATTGTAAGTGGAACTCAAATGTCTAAGGTACGTTATAAAATTCTGCTACTGTGTAATATGGTCTTTCTAGAAGAAAAGCTTTAGCCAGTCTTCGGAACTTATCGTATGTATTTATAGATTTTAACTGCATCGGAAGGTTATTATACAATTTTTTGGCATTGTAGGTAATGGAATGTTTTAATAGGTCAGAAGTGGGCATTGTTAAATAAACATCAGTCTCTAAATTTCTTGTAGGATATCTACGAGTCGGTCTTTCGGATAAATTTTGAATGTGCTTGCGAACTAAGCAGACGGATTCGAAAATAAATAGAGTAGGAAGGGTTAGAATTTTGAAATTTTTGAAGTAATTTTCGCAATGTGTCCTACTACTTAAACCAAATACATAGCGGATTGCTCTTTTTTGCAGTTTAAAAATAGATTCGAAAAGGTATAAGCTACAAGAACCCCAGAAAGGTAAACCATAGCGAAGGTGAGATTCGAATAAGGAAAAGTAGGTTATTAATGCAGTAGAAGGAGTCAGCTCTTTAGAAACCGATTTAATAGCAAAACATGCGGAGGATAATTTTTTTGCTAAGGTATCTATATGAGCAGACCATTTTAGAGAATCGTCTATATAAAGACCTAAAAACTTGATTGAAGTCACCGTTTGGATCAGATTATTGTTTAAAGTTATAGGTTGTAAAGTACCTCTGTAAGACAATGCTACAGTTTTACTGGTGTTGAAACAAAGTCCATTCGAATCAGACCAGGACTTAATAGTCACTAGATCTTCACTTATGATAGATTGTAATGTCTGCATGTTAGAATTATTCCAGGTTACACTGGTGTCATCAGCAAATAAAGTAATTCTACCACTTATTCTTAAGTCTGTGATGTCGTTGATGAATAATAAAAACAAAATTGGACCTAATACTGATCCTTGAGGTACTCCACTGCTTATTGCTAGATTTGTAGAATCCTCACCATTCGCCCGCACCTGTTGATTTCTATTTTCTAGGTAAGTTTTAAACCATTGTAAAGGAGAACCCCGTATGCCATAAATTTGTAACTTATTAATTAAAATATCATGATTTACACAATCGAAGGCTTTTGCGAAGTCACAAAATACTGAAGCGGTGAAAAGTTTATCATTAAGTGATGTGTATATTTCATTAAGAACGGAAAACATTGCGTCGCTAGTGCATTTTTTAGGTAGAAAGCCATACTGATGAGCTGTGAGGATGTTATGCTTGAAAAGAAAGGGCAAAAGACGGTTTTTCATTAGCCGTTCTACTATCTTCGATAAGGTAGGCAATAACGCGATAGGTCTATAGTTACAGGTTTTGGTTTTGTCGCCACCTTTATGAAGTGGGATTATTATAGCTGTTTTTAGACAGTTAGGAAAGAGACCAATTTCAAAGGATTCATTAATCAGTGAAGTTAAAATGTTGATTACTACATCCGGTATATTTAGAAATATTTAGTGACGAGTCTTCTTCCAACGAAGAATCTGACGAAGACAAATGAACATTATTTATTTGTGATTTACTGTTTACGTTGTTCGTATTTACTTATAGGCTATATAAGTGGTAAGTATTTAATACCATTTCATTTTAATTTCTTGATAGTTTCGGCCTTTACTTGATGAAAATCCATATTATTAAAAACCAAACATGGTAGACACAAACCCAGGAGTACCAAACAGTACAGTCCGGGGTTTTATAAATGACTGGATTCGGGAACAACATATCAACTATTGGGGAAGCACCCCAAAACAGGCATATGGAAAAACCTTCATAGGCAGACCATGTCCCAAAAGAACTGGAGAACTACTCTTAATGAATAGGAACCAGTTGAAAGTGATAACAGGGTTCATGACTGGGCACGCCCCAGTAAAGGGACACTTGAACAAAATTGGCATGTACAATGGGGAACTCATGTGCCGACTATGTCACAAGAAACCAGAAACGGCCAAACACATACTGTGCGAATGCGAAGCTCTAGATCGCAAAAGACAGGCTCTTTTTGGACAACCTCAGGTTGATCCAACAACGTATAGACCCAAGGATCTGTACAAACTTGTACAAGGTACAGAGTGGGTGCTATGAACTAACATGGGGTAAAACACAATAAGCCAATAGGCTTCAGTGTTATTCGGAGACACATAGTCAGACGAGCCCAGGAGAGAGAAAAAAAAAGTGTTTCTAAATGTTTTAATTTAATGCCTTTATTCTCAAAACGTGAAACAATTTTTGCATAACGATTGATTTTCAGATAAAAATATGTTTTGTAGAAATATTTTTGTTTTTAGTATAACTATTGTAATGTTTTAAATAGTTTTTTTTTTTAAGTACGGCCCGTTTGACCAATATACAATTTTACCACAATTTAATTTATTTGAATAAGGGTAATTTCCTGATTGTAACAGAATTTTATATAAATATCGAACGGAAAACGGTAGAACAGCCTTAACCTAAAGTCGGCTTACTTAAAAATAATGATTTTTTAATTGACTATAGAATTATGTACTAATAATAACATTAAGCAATATGTGAACAAGTATCATTCACTATTTTCTATTTATTTTATGTCTTTAAAATATACGCGCCCTGGTTTACAACTTTCTAGGTAAGTTACCAATTCTATTCATCGGTAGGCGTGTTCGTAGCATTATAAATGCGCGTCCTTGGTTCTTTAGATTTGGCGTTTACTGTAGTCTAGTTTGGAATAGTCACAAGTCTGGTTTAGCTAATTTTACAAGAGAAATTAAAAATAAATCTTAATTTGATGCATCTACAGTGTGACTCCCTTGAAATTGAACCACCCCTATACATTCTATATATTTTCTGTATTTGTTTCTAATGACAGAATTGAAATATTTACATATATAGGTAAATACCGATACTGCATGCCATAAATATACCTACAAACACATAGGGGTGGTAGGGGACATCAAAATAAACATTTCTAAAAATGCTTCGTTTCTGAAAAAGTTAATAAAAAAACGTTCTAATTTTAATGAAATCTTAAAAAGGTATCTTTTGTTTCAAAAATATTTCCAAAAGCTTGCCCACGGAAACTGTACATTTTCGAACATAAACATGTTTATTATGCCCCTTAGCACCCCTAAAAGTTTGTTGATATATTTACGATATATCCTATATATTATGAAAAAATCAAAACTTGTGGAAATTTCAAAATGTGGTTTTCAAAATTAGATTTCTACCCTTTTTGTAAACAATTTATCAAATTTTGAAGTCTATAGATCAATTGGTTTGGAAATGGTGATGAAATAAAGGCAACAATATCAAATTGATAAAAAATTCATATTCAACTTTGATACCTTGTAACAAACTTATTGAAATTTTTACTATACTATGACAGAGATGCAACATAAAACGGATATGTACCTAAAATTCACCGTGTGTATGACAAATTACAGATTAGATACGCTTCCTATTGTTATCAATGTTTTATTGTAACTATAATTTGTTTATACATATTTATAGCCTTGTTTTTAATCTTTTTAACTCATTACAATGATTTATATATTTAAAAAAGGGGATTTGTGTGCATTTCATCTGTTTATCGTTATGTGCCATTATCATTATCAATGTTAACAAGCTATTTAAATCAAAATAGTAAATTTAAATCAGCTTAAATCTGAAATAATGAAAGAAGCTATGCGTTTTTGATTTAATTATACAGATGAATTTAACTGGGGTAAAAGTTATACCTCTTAGAAGATAAAAATAATGAAAATATCACAGTTAGTTAATATGGTAGCAGAATAAAAGTACCTCAAAAGGTATCAGTCTGCAAATTAAGTCCTACTGCCTTTATCGACTCACGGTGGGAGAATGTAGAAAATGGAGCTATTAATTGTTTATGCCCTAGGCCTATTCTACAGTCTTCTTCATAGATATAGTTATTTTTTATAGATTTATAGATTATTGATTGTCAATGTTATATTTTAGTAAAGTCGTTTTATCAAATTTCCATTACTATTACTAGAAGAGTTTATACCGGGTAGGTTTTAACTAAGGTCCTTTTTTGAAGCAAAATGTCCTTATGACTTTTTAAAACTTAAAATGTCCTTTTTACGGCAAATGTCCTCTTTCACGGCAAATGTCCTCTTTCACGACAAATGTGTTTTTTGACTGACAGCACATATTTTTAGAAGGGACATGGTTTGTAGAAAAACACATGAGCTGAGGATTTTTTTTGTTTTTTGTTTGTTTGTTTTTTTTTTGTTTTGTTTGTTTTTGTTTTGTTTTTTTTTTTTTTTTTTTTTTTTTTTTTTTAGAATCTCGGCAAGACGAGGAGGATTTTTTTGTTCAGCTCGACGCCTTTTTTTAGAAAGTCGGTATGAAAAGGATAATTGTTTTTTTGTTTACTAGAAGGTTGAGGACTTTTTTGGCTATTCTTGACTTTTTTTTGGCTTTTTGGTTTGTTTAAATTCGTCTTTTTGGCCCTTTTTGTTTTTTGACTTTTTGACTTTTTTTTACTTTTTTGGATTTTTTAATTTTTTGTACACCAAAGCCCCTGTCACCATCGTAGTCCTTTTTTCACTTTTTAAAAAGCTGGCAACCCTAGTTTTAACCCATTCTGAACAGAGATTATGAAATAAATAACCAGTGGCAGCTTGTAACCAAAATATTGGGCATTTCCAATGACACAATATAGATATTAATACAGATGTAAGTAAAAAACTTTCAGTATTTATAATATTTCTTTCTGAAACATTTTTTACTTAAATCTGTACAGAGATCTATATTCAGTCATTGTGAACCCCCAATAGTTTGGTCACGAACCGCCACTGATAATAGACTAAATTTAATTAGGGTAGCACATAAAAAATCTGATGTTTCCGACATATGACCTTTCTGTCTGGTTATTACAGACTTCTTCCAGTTATTTTGTGTAACTTATTGTATCACCCCTGTAAATATTCATTGCCTACGAAAATATTGATAAATTAAAATTTTATACTTTTCCTCAAATTTTTTCATTACGGTTCATTTTAAAGAAATTATATATAGAATAAAAATTAAAAAGTTATATCGCAAACAACTTTTATTTTCTTAAAAATTATATTTTTGCAATTTTTGACAAATTTCTCGAATACGGACCATTTTAGAAAAATTATGAAAAGGACAAAAATTATAAAGAATAACATCATAAGCAACTTTTATTTAAAGAATTTTCTTCTCCAAGCGTACATAACAGATATAGAAAAACGACCTTTTATAAAGTACCTCCAGATGTTCCGACTATGCCCAAAATTTAATATTCCTGTTACATTATAGGGGGTGAAATTAGCAACCCTTACTTTATTTCATATCAAAACTTTTTTTCGAGATGAAGTTTTATGAAATCTAACCCTACCTGCTTACAACCACCTTTTAAGGGTGATATCTCGGAAAGTGGGTGGGCTGGTGAAATTTTGTTATAGGAAAGACCCATCTTACTTTCATACTTGATTTTTGTCGCATAAATTTAGAAACACCCTGTATATTCCCAAAAATAAAAACTACCCCTTACAAAGTACCCCTCAGGTGTTCCGACTATGTCCAAAATCTAATCACATACACATATATACACACACATATATCATCGCGAAAATAGTCAAAACGGATTCAGGGGACCCTAAAACGTAAATATTCATCAAAAACTCGAGGTCGAAAAAAATCATGTTTTCTTAGCTGTATACAGACAATAAAGTAAAACATTATAATGTGATGTTTGTTTACTTTAAAACAACAGTTTATTTATTAATAATTTATTTAAACACTTATTTATTTTATAACACAACTATTCTAATTTATATATACTTCGAATGTCTTTAGACTGATCACTATTTATATTCACCACTGTCTATCTACTAATTACTATTTATCTTCACTGTCCATATAACTACTAACTCTGATGGCTCTCCTCCACCAATTTATATACAAATTGGTGGTCTAGAATGCTCCCCCACCAAAATTGCCAGAAGGTACCAGAAACGTTATCACGTTATATTTAGACTAGAAATAGTATCTCGTTGACTCTGGAATGTTCGCGAAAATGTCTCCACCATAGTCGTCTTAAGGGGTTTAATTATGTATAATAAGCGGACAAGTTGAGCCTCAAAGGTCAAATAATACAGAGAGGGACTTGGAGTATTAGAGCATGACTGAATAATGAAATGGCTCACATTACAATAATATTACAGAAGACATTAGTTCAAAAAGAATTATTGTATAAAAATAATCTTTTGAATAATTTAATTAAAACCTCTTGACTCTCCATGACACCCATATAAATTATCTGATATTCATTCATGTTACAGAATATGGTCTCAAAACAGTTATTGTTCTTAAAAGTGATTTTTGTTTTGTTTGGTTGGCGTTAATTGAAAATATTAATGTATTCTTAGTAAACTTAATATATTCAAGCTCTCAATAATCTAGAAGACGATCAATCTTATGTGGGACAATCTTTATAAGGCTGTACAGTCCATGTGCAATTCTAGTCGATTTAATTTAGTGTTTTTGTGTGTTTCTTTAGTATTTCTTGTGGTGCTCAGTTGACGTTCTTCTTTCATGATTGTTCTCTAGAGATAGTTACTTTCTTTTTTAATTTTCTTTCATTTTCCTCCATTTAATCCTGCCCAGAAATTGTTTTCTTCCATTTTAAATTCGTAAGGTCATAGTCTTTCATTATTTGGTTCATTACTGTGTCTGGTTCCCAATATGTAACTATTTTTAAATTGTTTTTCGTTCATATTGTATGTCTAAACCATATTATACTCATTATTATTTTCACAATATCTTCTCTTAGAAAATCAGAGTCGTACCAATTTTTAACTAAATAAGTTCGTGAAGCATCCTCAAATTATTCGTATATGTTCCTTGCCAGAGAAGTTTAGTATCATCAGCAAACTACGTAAACTTTCCTAAAATTCTTATTTTAGTTAAATCATTGACATAAGAAAATGATGTCTGTGAAACGCCGTGTTCTACTTCATTTTTGAATTGTCTCTCATAACTTTTAAACCACTGTAAAGTTGCATTTAGAAAAATGAATAGTCTTCTGAAAATAATTTCGACAAGCTCGGACAGGTCATCATATCCATTACATAATAATTGTCAAACCAATTGTTAATTTTCTGATGTAATTCTCCGCATTTAAACCATTTTTAAAGCTTCTCCTTGTAAAGTTTTCTTTAAACGTTACCATTACCATTAAAGGCTGGAATCAGGATTGGGTCTTGTCTGAAGAGCAGCATCCCATATCCCAGAAATCCTACCTCTACATCTCTATTCCTACCCCTTCTTTCACATTTTTTTAATAACTGAACAGTTTTTAAATGTATTTAATGTCTGACCTCCTTTTCTCCAGGTCTAATTCATTCATCTGGTTTGATCAAACGGAGACACATCATAGCAGAGGAAGATGCCAAAGTGATAGCTAGTTTGAGGAACGCCGGAGCCATTCCAATAGCCCTCACCAACGTCTCGGAGCTTTGCATGTGGTGGGAAAGTGCCAATAACGTTCACGGAAGATCAAACAATCCTTACGGTGTCAATCACATCGTTGGAGGGTCGTCTGGTGGAGAAGGGTGCGCTCAAGCTGCGGCTGTGTCCGCTTTTGGTAAGAAACGTACCTAGATGTTGACTAATATAAGGTCCAGGAGTTTCACCTATAGATAGATAAGCCTTAATATCTAGTTAACTTAACTAGAACTCGTTATCTAAGGCTACTATTTTGAAAAAAATTTGGGAGTATTTCAAAAATATAACATTTTTTTACCCAGCTTAACTTTTTCAATTTCAAAATCGTCTGGGGGAGTGTGTTTAGCCCCTAAACCCTCCTCGCTGCGCCACTGAGATAAGGGGATTTTAACTAGTAGTTCTGCCTATCTGAAGGTGAACATAAGGTTATCCTCCAGATACCATTTATTTTTCAGAATACGTTACTTTATCTCTAGGTGAAAATATCGGGCGTATTCTACACATTTTTATCGGGCCGGTGGTGTAGCAGTCTAACGCGCTTATATTCATTTATAGGCAAGTTTATGGTCCGATACTGCCGGGCTTCGAATTTCAAACCGGACCATGTGGATTTTTAATTAAATTGCATGGTTCGGTATAGGATTTGATGTGTGCCGTATTAATAGAAATTCAATTTCTGTTGATATGATATGCAGATTATAAAAATCGCCATGCATTACCGTCTCGATGATGGTGGGTGAGGTTTTCCGGGTTTTCCTCACCTGTAAGTCAAATGGCACCATCAATCATCTTTAGTCGCCCCGGAGCTCCACGGCAAATAATAATAATAATAGCTTTTGGGGTTAAAATTCACTCGTAAGGGGGTGAATTAGGGAGAGTATTATTATTATATTATTATATATTGAACTCCGATCTTTTCAGGTATTGGTTCCGACATAGGAGGCTCAATCCGCATGCCGTCCTTCTTCAACGGCATTTTCGGTCACAAACCATCTCCGTGTATCGTACCCAATCACGGTAATTACCCCGAGCCCTGTTCAGAAGAACAAAACCGATTCCTCGGGGTGGGCCCGATGTGTAGAAGGGCCGAGGATCTGGCACCGATTTTAAAAATTCTAGCTGGCAGCAACAACAAAAAATTGAGATTAGACGAACCCGTAGACGTTAAGAAGATTAGATGGTATTATCAGGACAATGATACGGGGTCGTTTTTCGTTTCGCCAGTGGCGGCCGAAATTAGGGAGCTGTTCGTTAAGATAGCTAAGCATTTGGATAAAGCGTATGGAATTAAAGCGTCTAAGGTATTTATTATTAAATAAAAAACAAAGTATTATAGTAAGAATTTACGTTATAAAACCTACTTTATATAAAATGTTCCTTAATGATGTACCAATTTTTCAGGGTAAGAAAAATTAATAATTTTTTGTCATAGGGTGTTTCTCATAAATGTTTTAACATATTTATTTTAGTTGCATCCTTTTGATATATTTTAGAAAAAGTAATACGTTATTGTTGGAAATATATCCAACATATACCGCTAAACTATGAAAGTTAACTCTATAATTGAATGAACTTAAAAGTATCGAGTATCCTATTAACCATTAACCAAAATTGAAAATAATATCTAAAGTACCTTTAGGGATTAAAAAATAAATCTAAAAAAAGTACTTTTCTTCAATAACCTCGAAAATTGAAAAGAGATGAATTCATATTTTTGTGGTCCTTCGAACCGGATATTTATTTGAAATTTTAATTAATAATTTTAAATGAACAGTTATAAAAATATATAAAATATGTGAAAAATTGCGATATGGATACATTTGCAAGATGACAATCATGAAAAATTGCGACATAAAGTTTTTGTAATAAATTAAAAAATTCTCAAATATGTTTTGCAAAAAATTAAAGAATCCACAAATTTGATATTAAATGTATCAAAAGATAAAACAAAGTGCAATTAGAAATTCGTTTTTTGGTACCTTTCTTTGAATGTATTTTGCTCTCTGAAGCCGTTCCTCAGAGTCTTGAAAATGGACTTTTTTTCTGGAATTGTAGTTGTTATTTTCTTGAAGCGACGAGGATTATTATTCTGTTTTTATTCAATGATTCTTGAGTCTAGAAAGTTTAAAATAATGTGCTAGAGTTGAAGTTCACAAAATTATGTATTTCATTTTTGTTGATTGTGGTCTACAACGTGTTAACAATATTTCTAAAATTATCTTTATGACAGAAAAAATCTTTACACATTACGGTAATCTCTTAACCCATGCCAGAGTGAGCTAATTGAAAAGATTAGAAATATTTTTCAAATAATCTATTAGGTAAAGACTCTGATAGGACTCTTTAAGTCTAGGATCAGACCAATGAAAGTTACATGGCGTCATATCGGGATATGCAACTGTTTGGCCACATGTGTGAAAGTTGACGTCACGAATCTTCCGCTTACAATTTGTTAAATCCGAAGTAACTACGTTTTAAATAATATTTTGTTGCTAAAGCTTGTGCCTGCACAGAGGCGTATTGAAGTTTTATAAAGATTAAAAATATGTTTTTAACAATTCTGTAGCAAAAAATTTAAGTCGTTGAGGACATATGTTCTCAAAATGACTAACCTAAGTCAACTTGAAATATTATTATGTCATTAAGGATTTTATGTTACTTACAGAATCTCAAATTTGCAATTATAAAAAGCAAACGTCAGCGAACATGGGCGAATAGTTCTCATTTTTTTTTATCTTAGGTAAGTTACAACCGATTTGCCAAAAGCGGTACAATGTGGTTCGCGAATATGAAAACTTTGGATGGACCTTTGTTCGAGCAACATCTTGCGAATTTAAAAGGCAGGATCAATCCGTGGACGGAGTTGTTAAAGTGGGTGTTCCGGATGTCCGAGCATACTTTTATTGGAATCCTTACGTGTATCGCGGAAAAAGGAGGATGTCAATATGGAGATGAAAAATACGATTATCTAGTTCAGGTATTTATTAGTAATATATAAAAATACATATGTTGTAATACCCCACTTCCATTCGTTTATTATATTATTTAAATACTATACTTTTAATGCCAATGATTAGATTGCTTCTAAACAGTTTTTTTTATAATAATAATTGACCTAGGGTCCCGAAACGAGTCTCGCCTTACTTTTTAAAATGTTAATGTATTGCTTTGGATACTTCTTCAGTTCAGTATAAGTCAATGACTAGAGTAATAACCCAATTGTTTGTTTTTTTTTATTTTTAACAATTTAGATAAAACACTAAAAAATACTTTATATAATTTTTGTATAATCCTATCCTACTTATATATAAATGCGAAAGTTTGTATGGATGGATGTTTGTTGGTCAATCACGCCCAGACGGCTGAACGGATCTAGATGAAATTTGGCACAGATATAGATTATAGTCTGGAATGGCACATAGGCTACCTTTAATCCCGGAAAAAGTACGATTCCCTTGGGATAAATTTGTTTTTTACAGAGCAAGATATTATGATTTTTGCATAGTAGTAATGAAACATGAAAATTTGAAATACAGCTATTGAGCATAAGTAAATATTGACGTGTTTCAGGGTTTTTGGATTTTCACATTTTAAGAGGGGGAAACGGGGGTGAAAGTTTTGTATGGGAATATCGATTTTTTTTAAAGGTAGGAACTTGAAAATTGGAATTGTAGGTTCTCATCACAAGTAAATAATTATGTGTTTTAGGGTTTTTGGATTTTCATATTTTAAGGGGGAAATAGAGACAAGGGGGAAAAGGGGGACAGGGGGGGAAGGGATGCAAGTTTGTAAGAGAGAATAATTTTTTTTAAAGGTAGGAACTTGAAAATTGGAATTATAGCTATTTATCATAAATAAATAAACATATTTAAGGATTTTTGGATTTTTACATGTCAAGGGGGGAACGGGGGTGAAAGTTTTGTATGAGACTTTCGGGTTTTAAAGGTAGGAATGTAAAAATTGGAATTGTAGCTACTCATCATAGGTAAATAATGACGTATTTCAAGGTTTTTTTTATTTTCATATTTTAGGAGGAAAAAATGGGGAGTATCGTAAAAAGAAATGAATTAAAAATAAATAAAAATAAATAAAAATAAATAAAAATAAATAAAAATAAATAAAAATAAATAAAAATAAATAAAAATAAATAAAAATAAATAAAAATAAATAAAAATAAATAAAAATAAATAAAAATAAATAAAAATAAATAAAAATAAATAAAAATAAATAAAAATAAATAAAAATAAATAAAAATAAATAAAAATAAATAAAAATAAATAAAAATAAATAAAAATAAATAAAAATAAATAAAAATAAATAAAAATAAATAAAAATAAATAAAAATAAATAAAAATAAATAAAAATAAATGAAAATAAATGAAAATAAATGAAAATAAATAAAAATAAATAAAAATAAATAAAAATAAATAAAAATAAATAAAAATAAATAAAAATAAATAAAAATAAATAAAAATAAATAAAAATAAATAAAAATAAATAAAAATAAATAAAAATAAATAAAAATAAATAAAAATAAATAAAAATAAATAAAAATAAATAAAAATAAATAAAAATAAATAAAAATAAATAAAAATAAATAAAAATAAATAAAAATAAATAAAAATAAATAAAAATAAATAAAAATAAATAAAAATAAATAAAAAATAAATAAAAATAAATAAAAAATAAATAAAAATAAATAAAAATAAACAAAAGTAAATAAAAATAAATAAAAACAAATAAAAATTGGTATAAATGAATAAAAATTGATAAAAACTAATAAAAACTAATAAAAATTAATAAAAATTGATCAAAATTATTATAAATTAATAAAAATTGATAAATATTAATAAAAATTTATCAAAATAAATAAAACTTATTAAAAATTAATAAGAATTGATAAAAATTAATAAAAATTAATAGAAAATTAATAGAAAATTAATAGAAAATTAATAGAAAATTAATAGAAAATTAATAAAAATGCAATTAATAAAAATTAATAAAAATGAAATTAATAAAAATTAATAAAAAAAATAATAGGAAATTAATAAAAATTAATAAAAATAATTGAAAATTAATAAAAATAATTGAAAATTAATAAAAATTAATAAAAATTTTTAAAAAATAATAAAAAGTAATAATAGTTATTAATGAGTATTTAATTTTGTATAGTTCTATAATGAAACCAGTGACATCTGATGAATAAGTTAGAGTTATTTTATTATAGAACTAGGTAGAATACAATGTTTGCTATTGTATTATGGTTCTAAATACAAAAATTAAAAGTTTTTAGTAGTACTGATTCTTTATTTTACGCCTTTTTTCCTCACAGGAACGGAACAACCTTCGCCGCGAACTTCTAGACCTCCTCGGCGACGACGGCGTATTCCTCTACCCCACACACCCCACCGCGGCTCCATACCACAACGAACCTTTAGTCAAACCCTTCAACTTCTCCTACACCGCTGTGATAAACATCCTAGGACTGCCGGCCACCCACTGTCCCATGGGTTTGGACAAAAACGGGTTGCCCATCGGCGTGCAAGTAGTCGCCTCCGACGGAAACGACCGGTTATGTTTGGCCGTTGCCAGAGAGATTGAAAAGGCTTTCGGCGGATGGGTGCCGCCCGCTATCCAGGCGTAACTTCGTTGATTCTTAGGCAAAATCGGAGTGGAGGTAAAGAGTTAACAGGAAATTATGAAACTATAATTGAATCGCTTATTGCTAAAAGGAAAGTCATAAAAGTAACTAAGTTACATTTTACGTTTTTGACTTTAAAACATGAAACGAAACTTTGAAGATGTTCCTTTGGTGTAAGAAGGAACCGTCTAACTATATTGCTGGTGTTATATTTTAGTGGTAGTTGTCGGTACCTTCTTACACCAAACGAAAGGAATATCTTCAAAGTTTCGTTTCATGTTATAAAGTCAAAAACGTAAAATGTGACTTAGTTCCTTTTAACAATAAGCGATTCAATTATTATTATTACCATTAGTACCTTTAATAATTTTAACAGCTGCTTTTATAAGCAGAATTGATTATCCATTTCTTAAATAGTCATAGAATGAAATCAAACATTTGTTGTGCCTTGTTAACAATGGATATTTCTTTTAGAAACGAGTTTAATGTCATTTAAAACTGGTGGGTACATTTGAACTACTTCTAAAATTTTGCTACTTGTATTGAAAGAACTAAAATTACACACTTTGTATGATCTCTCGGGGTAAGTGCTGCCGCTAATTATATTAGTTTAACTTTGAATAACAATATCTTTAAAACCTTTAAGTTATTTTGAAATTTTAAAGACAAATTGTAAGTGCCAAAACGAATATTACAGTTGATTCTTCCTCGATTGTCAATATCTGGTAAAAGCAACAACTGGACAATTTCTTTAGGGTGAATGAGACTGGTGTCTTCATTATTTAGCAAATGGATTGACAAAGATAAACCAATCCTTCTGACAAATTTGACTTAAGGGTTAGGTTCCTTTTCGGCGATGTAAACAACAAATAGCTCAATCTTTTACATCTACTGTCTCAAAATCTTTATCCGTTACTTCAATGAGATTATTTCCTTTTGAGTATTCTTAGAAATTCGTCCGATATATCCCAGGCATCAGCACAAATGGTTCATCTTTGTCGTTAATTATCAAAATAAATATTTAAAAATTCAAAATGGTGCTGAAAAGAATCGAATTTAATCAAAAATTGTCCCCCTTGAATGGAAATAGTAGAAAGCGTCCTTTTGCTTTGCGTAACTGGACCATCTTTTGTTTTTTTGTTCTAATGATAAACCTACATGTTCCTAGGGGCCATCTTAACTACTGGCCTTCGAATGCACAGCCAATTTCTTTGAAAAATATTGACCTGCCTTAAAATTATGCCTACAAATTGTGCGGGGTCAGGTGCAATCTAGATATCCCATACATTTTTGCCTTTAAATACTATTAACTTTGGTAATTTCTCGTCAGCAGCATTCGCAGCCAATAAGACGGTAATATTTTCTTTACTAGGACCACTAGTTGCTTGGTGGGCAGGTCCAAGAACTTTAACACAGCTGGGATAAAAAAGAACTAGTTTCGTCTTGGTTACAAATTTTTGTTGGAGCAATATTAATAATAAATTCCTTAAGATGATAAAAATATTCATCTATAATAAATGGCCGCTACTTTAGCTTGAAGATTTTTTAAATTTAACGGACAAAGAAATCACCACCAGAAAGTTCATCTCTAAAATCTTGAATATGTCGGCCTAGTATTTTCAGAACTTCTTTTTTGTATATTCCAAAGTCCCAATGATATAAAATGTTTTAACTTTTAAGAGAAAGAAAAAGATTTTATAGAAATTACAAGTTTAGTTATAAAAAACATACCTTAAAAGTTTAAATAAATAAATCTCTTATAATCATTGCAGGAAACTAAAAATATTAATGCTAACACTTACCATATTATATCGAAGGCTTTTGCAATTAATTTTTTTCTAAAATGGACGATGAAATTACCGTGAACTCCATCTTTAAAACTTCTTTTTGGAGAGTCCAAAGTCCAATTTTGTCATAGTTTTTAGACACTCAATTTTCTTTTCCTCTTCAAATGGAATAATAGTGGGACATCCCACTTCTTTCGGCATCCATATTTTTTGTATAACTAAAAATAGATTTCGACCTGTTAAACTGTTAAAGGATATATACGAATGATATAAAATGTTTCAACTATTAAAGGAAGGAAAAGAAGATTTTATAGAAATTATAAGTTTGGTTGTAAAAAAATAACCTTAAAAATTTAAACAAATAAATCTCTTATAATCATTGCATGAAACTGAAAATATTAATGCCAACACTTACCATATTATACCGATGGCTTTTGCAATTAATTTTTTTCTGAAATGGACAATGAAATTACCGTGAACTCCATTTTTAAAACACTTATCGTCTTCGGAACTTCTTTTTTGGAGAGTCCAAAGTCCCATTTATCCATAGTTTTTAGACAGTCTGCAATTTTCTTCTTCAAACGAAATAGTAGTGGGTCGGCCCAATGACTTAGGGTGCGATTACTGCAACTTTGCAGATCTGCAAATATAACAGTAACTTTACAGAAGCTCTGCAAATCATACTTGCATCTGCAAATATCAATTGCAGTTGCAAATTGCAAAAAAGAAACATGGTATTACAGAAACATGTTTTCATTTTTTGCGTTTGCAAATCATCTGTAACTTTGCAGGAGGTTAGAACATCCTACAAACTTGCAGATTGTCAATTCTTACTTTGTTTTTTGTTTTAATAACCTTTTGTTCCTTTTGATTGAATACAGTTCGTGGTGTTAGATTATCGAGTTTTTAAACATACAATGGATTAGGGTTCAAGTTCAGTTTGCAGATATTTTTTGGAATACGAAAACTTGATACTTGCATCTGTAAGTTCGCCATATTTGCAGATCTGCAAAGTTGCAGACGTTATGTAATCTTACCCTTACTCTTTTATGCTCCTTTTTTCCTTTACATGTTTAAAAAGGGTCGCCTTTGGAATTTTGTATACTATAACAGCATGGTACATTGATTACCAGCTTCCATCGCATTCTGTAAACCTTTACACGAATAAGACGGTTGTACCATTTTTTCATGTGTTTCGAACAAGAAGAAAAACATTTTAAATGTCATTCCTATTAGGTTTCAATATCCCTTTATTTTTTCCTGAGGCAGGAGAAACCCAAACAAAGTATTAGGGTTTTTTTCAAATTCATTCTACTCAATGCCATAATAACCTAAAATTATTTATCCATATCTGTAAAAGAAGAAAAACATTTTTAATGTCATTCCTATTAGGTTTCACTCTCCCTATATTTTTTCCTGAGACAAGAGAAACCCATACAAAGTATTAGTTTTTTTTCAAATTCATTCTATTCGACGCCATATTAACCTAAAATTATTTATGCAAGGGTGATATACCAAGAGCTTGATAATAGTCGGTTATTTTTGTTAAATCTAAATCTCGAGAATATTTTAATATCAATTTGATGAGACATAATTTTAGTCATTAATAATCAATTGAATATTAATGCCAAAATTATGTAGAATCCAATTGTAAAATGTTCGTGAAATTTAGCAACAACAAAAATAGTAGAATATTAATCGAGGTCGTGTTATATTTGAGACGACTATTTCACTAGACCAAATATTGACTATTTCTCTAGAGAAATAGTCGCTGATATTTGGTCTAGGGAGATAGTCATAAATGCGTACCTCGAAAATATAGATATTTCTTTATATCCACTAATTTACAATAATTTATCTAAATGTCAGATTCCCTCGTTACCTCGCCCCTCGTTGTGCGCCAAATTTGTAAAACCAACATTTACCATATTCTATCGATGGTTTTTATTAATCATAAAAGGAATTAATTAATGAAACGTTGAACTCTTACATCTATTTCATAAAATGATCATATCACAATTATAAGATGACAAAACACAAAATTACAGATAGGACCTTAGAGGTGGAAGAAAAATAATGGTATCATAGTTATATCGTTACAAGTGAAATCTGCAAATTACATTACATAAGCTTTTTTGGTGGTGTTTCTAGCTAGTTAAGCAATTATAAGCGAATCTTCGGTGATGTACTTACAGTATTGCCAGCTTTTTCTTATTTACTTAAATACAAATAATATTCATAGGTTCTACTTACCCCAAATTTACACTACTTACCCCAAATTTACACTACTTACCCAAAATTTACATTACTTACCCCAAATTTACACTACTTACCCCCGGATGACCTTATTTAAATTAGTTTTAACGAATTTAAAAATCTGGTACATTTGAACTACTGCAATCCTAAGGTTTAAAATTATTTGTTGCACGTTTCAAAATTGATTGGTTTTTGTTCATAGTTTAACCTAATGATGACCTGAGAGGTCTAGACCAATTTTATCGCGTTTTTTCATATTTAAAATATTTATTGTGATACCAATTTGGCGTTTGATTTTATTCTATATATAGCTGTTTTTGTATTTATACATTTTATAACCGTTTGTGCTAAAATAATGAAGGATAACATTGTTATCTCTACTCACGATTTGGCCTAAATTACATTGTGATGCTTTTATATGTATAATCATTAACTAGATTTATTAAAGATAAACTAAATTATGTTCCACACTCGTCGATTCTGAAATTATTTAAAGATCTTTCGATAAACTAAAATTCATCGGATTTTCTCTGTATTTATTGCACTTAAATGCTAAATACTGCATTGTATTTTTAATAAATCTAGTAAAATTGTTCTCTCACAAGTGATGCCGAATTTATTGTGCTTTTAAAAATTAAATGTAATTATAAAGGTACAGGGTTGGAGTTACATGTCGACTAAATTATAAGTTCAATTAAAAACTTGTAAAAGTGATAAATATTGAGATTCAACAGCTAACAAATTTTTAAGTACACTATTTCTTTAAATTTATCACCCTTATGACCGTTCTTCGATAAGAACGAATCTTTTGAAGCAGCATTGAATAATTTGTAACGAATTTTATGAACTACTGATTTTAAATATCAACAATAGAAAAAGATTGATGGTGTTAAGTCTGTTGACCAAGCAAAGCATTCAAAAACCAAATTTTTACTATTAAATATCGATAAATTGTCAAAAAAAGCTATTTTTAAGATTAATTATAATTTAGAGAGTAGTTATATAATATTCCGACACATGTATGTCCAACCCTCTATTTTATATCTGTAAATTTGTTTTGACAACTTTATATATACCTATACTTACGAAACTTATACTTGAAATACTGTTTATATCTAATTTTGTAGGAATCAATAATCAGAATAATTTCTCACAGTATTAGTTGGCATCTACCCATTTTTTAGATATATTCAATTACAAATATTTACTATTTTTTTACAAAACAGCATTTTATTGTATTAAAATCAAAGCGTAAACACATTCACTAGTCACTGTATGCACTGGCTAGTATTCTCTAAACTGACTCAGTAAAATAGATTTTAGAGTTGGTACATTCCTTAAAAGGTGTTGAATCCAAGAGACATAACCTCTTGTTCAACATTTTAGTTATTTTAAATGCAATTTTCTGATAAAATGCCACTGAAGAAACCAAAACATTTATATTCGTTTATCTGCAGACATTGAATCTTAAAGTTGAACTTCTTTAACGAAGCATCTATTCCATCATGCACATTGAAAATGATGTCACTTGGGCCTTGTAAACACAGATTTAAATCATTTAATTTAGAAAAAAGTTTTTGCAATCGAAAAATATCGGAAAAATGCTTGAACCATACTTCAATTCAAATAAGCGGTAATAACTTTGCCACGAGCCGTTATTCTCGTTCCACCGAGCGCATTCTGGAAAACTCTCGGTTCGCTCCATTCCCAGAAGTAAAAGTAAATTAAATTATTATAATTATTTAGGTAGGTTTACATTGATTTCAAAATTGTTTAATGTACAGACTTATAAGCTACTTAGCTAACAAATAGTGGTTATAGAACTGGTTTATTTTATACAGAGTGTTGTGAAACATGTCTTAAATATGGCTAAATTTAAGTTCAATTTACTCAATTTTTTCAAATGCAACTCCCTATATATTAATTTAGCATAAAACTCCTTATAAATTTTTTAGACAGAGTATCTTTTAGCGATGTCTATCTGGTTACATTTTGTATATTTACAATAAGTTTTGCGTTTCCACGAAGTTTAGAAATTAAAGAGTTTAATAAATAAGTATTTTGGAAAGGATTTGGATGATCTCTAATATAAAAACTGTTAATAAGAGATTCACATACCGATAAGTACCTATTTTTCTTAAAGGTTTTTTGTATTTTAGATCTTGTTTTTTATTTTTATTTTCAAAACTAAATTTAGAGCAGCTTTCTTTCTTTGGAATGGGAAATTAAATGATCTAAATCAAGAGCCGCAAATTCGTCTGCGAGTAAAAAATTGACATTTAAAAATTTAACTAAAATAAATTTAAGTTACTTACAGGAAAAACACAAATTTGAGCATTATCCTATAAGGATGAACAGTACCTATTCCTGGAATCTGCACTCCTTGCAAAGTTGAGCGATTTGTGTCCCAACTTTCGATGCTGATTGTTGTGAACGGTTATACTGGTCCTCGATGTTTGGAGAACCACTTCAATATCAACACACCTCTACACACGAATCGCGACAATCAATTGTTAAAACGAGAATTGACACGTTCGATACGCGACAACTTGGATATCCTACTATGACTGCGCCACAAATATTTTCTGAACTCAAAATTCGGTTCTTAAAAAAAGATTTCAAAATTATTTTACTATAATGCATCTAACTACCAAGAAAGCAAATTATCAAGGTTGTAAAACAGAATAATGAAATATGATATGAGATAAGAGCTTCTAAGAAATAAGTCGTTGACTCTGCAAATGCCATAAGGATAGCTAATGTAATTCGTGGCTTGTAAATGCTGCATACTTTGACTAGTGAATGTGTATAATATTTACGCTTTTACTGTAACATATATAAAAAAAGATTATTTAATTTACACAAACATACAAATAATAGTGATTTTTTGTCACAAAAAGTACTGTGGAAACGACCAATTTTTAGCATTTTGTAATGAATGTTCTATTGTGACCAAAACCATCTCTTACCTATTCTTATGTAGGAACTTAATATAATGGAATTAAAGTTTAAAGAGTATTTATACCAAACTGGAAGAAATTTATATAAAAAAAATTCGGCAAAATTGATAAATCGTTTGCCAAACAATTAATTGATATTAAGCCTTATTTTTATATGATCAAGATTTGATTTTTCTTATTAAAATCAATAATTGATCTCGTAAATATAAATTTGTTAATATAAATTCGTAAATATAAATGTTACTGAAAAAGATACTAATTTCACCTTTATGCAAATTTTAAAATAATAAAAATAAAAAATTCCTAATAAAAAACCTTGTATTTGAAAAACGTTGGTGGTTTACAGCGAAATTAGTAAATAGTGATTTTTATTGAAGAGTAAAGCACTTTTAAAATATTGAAAGCATAAATTTGATTTTTTTATTAAAATACTAAACCAATCATTTTAACAAATTATGTATTGTATGAGACCTCTACTAATAAAATTTTCCTGTAAACAGTGATTTATTCAAACAAATTTTTTTTATTTATTATTATAGACCTTAAAATCATTCAACAGTTGGCATAATAATAGTAGATCATATTCCTGTGTGCTATTCATTATCTGAAAGATAAGAAAATTCGTTGTTATAGGAGCTGAAACTATCTAGAATGAAATAGGAAATTAATTCCTGAACACAAATTCATGAAAACGATCTAAAAAGAATTTTAAAAATTGATCAAACCCACGACCTTTGGTATACCGTACCAACTACTTAACTATTACAACAAAAGAGTGTATGCATCTGGCCATTTACAGATGTATTGTCTTTACTTTGATATTCCCGCATAATTTCAGTTCATGCCTAATAAGGCTTTGTTTTTATGAGAAAAATAGTTTCAATATGTCTGCCTACATTATTCTCTTCCAAATTTTATTTAACAAGATCATATTGGTGTCTATAAATACTTTCTAATTTCTCTCAACATCAACTCTGGATCTAAAAACACTTCACTCTTCAGTAACATCCTTTTAATTTCCACTATTTAATTTTTTTCAAAATAAGTGTTGCTTTATTATTGAAATTAAAGTGATACAGGGTTTTTTATCAAGAATATATATATTTTTTAAATGAATAATATTTTGTAGACTTTATAATTTTTTACAGACTAAATATGTTTATAGTAAAAACCCTTCCCGAGAAAGTTTGTGAAACATTTCTAGCTCATTTCGAAAAGTCTTATTAAAGTATTTTTTATACATATATATTTATTTACAAATATATTCAATAAATAATTTTGTTTAGAACATTTTCATAGCCATTTTTATAAATATATATTTTGTTACAACAAATTTATTATTAATTTATTACAGATAGTCTTCGATGGGTCATCCCTTGTACATATTTTTTATTTAACAATATTGATATAGAGGGTGTGGTAAATCTCATTTGTAAGCAAATATTTGTGAAAACAGTAAACTTTTGTAGATGTGTAACTGACATCACATTTACATTGTATTTTTAGATATTTTTGTGTCGTTTTAAAGAAGTTTCAAAATATTCTATGTATTTCCATCATTTAAACGTATTATGTCCTGAATCTCCAATTCTGTCCTGGTTGTCCTATATTGTAACAACTTTAAAACTATACATCAATACATATTTTTTAAAATAAATATAATACCCACTTTATTTTTACCTGTGTGGTATTTATGTTGTATATTCTCAGGTTGTCCTACACATACAAATAGTACACCTTATATTTATGTATGAACTTTTATGTAAAATGTTGAGATTATTTTATGTAACTGTTATATATTTTATAATAATAAAACTGTGCTTCTTGTTGTATATTTGATTTTTATTTAAATATAGCCCAATATAGTAGTTTGTGCAACAAGAGTGGATATGGAAAATTCACTGGAGAGAGCTATTTTGGATTTGTTGTTTATCTAAACCTTTTTAATGGCACAAATAGAGCCACTGACATGTTGATAATGTTGTAAAACTCAGCAATATTTACATTAGTTGCATCCAAATCATGTTCCCACTCTATACCACTAAGTGTCGGCTATTGAACACTTTACAATACGCTTTGCTAATGTCGAAGTGACCTCTGTTGTTGAATTCACAAGAAAAAGGAATGAAGGAGCTTTATATGTGGGGACAACATCTAAAAATGGCAAAAGAGGTTAAATATCTTGGAATCACTCTTGATGACAAGCTTAGCTTCTGCTGCCATATAGAAAAAGCTGTAAGAATACTATGGGCCTGTAGACAGATGGTAGGGAAAGTATGGGGGCTTAAACCAAGTATGACGCACTGGCTTTACACTATGGTTGTAGTACCTGTTATAACTTACTCATCAGTCATATGGTGGTACAAGACTAAAAGCTAACAGAAAATTAGACAAGGTACAAAGACTAGCTTGTCTAATAACAACAGGGGCATTTAGAACTACGCCCACAGCAGCAATGGACCTACTGCTAGGTCTTCCTCCACTACACCTTTTGGTAGAGAAGGAGGCTATGGCGGCGGCATACAGGCTGGTTACTAATGGATTTGGATAAGAACTTTCGAGAAAAGGACACCACACAATGATATTAGAGAAATTAAAACAAAATCCGGTACTAAGAATGTCATCGGATAGAACGCCCATTATTCACGACTTCAAGAAACCTTTCGATATTCAAATACCAGAAAGGGCCAAAAGCCGGGAAAGTAGGGAAAAACAAAACGAATCAATGTGGTATACAGATGGTTCGAAAATGAAAAACAGCACAGGAGCTGGGATCTACCATGTGAACTCAGGGAGGACAATTAGTTTGAACCTGGGGTCACTGACAACAGTTTTCCAGGCTGAAATAACAGCAATAAATACATGCTAAATGACTCTCTTAGAGATAAGAGGATCTTTATCATGACACAGGCAGCACTTAAAGCACTGAAAAGGGTAGAAGTACAATCTAAATCAATATTTGATTGCAAACAGTCCCTCCAGGCCCTGGCAGAACATAACAAGGTCACCCTTGAATGGGTGCCAGGACATGAGAGAGTGTTTGGAAACGAGAAAGCAGACCTAGCAAGAAAGGGAGCGGAAAAAACTCTTATTGGACCAGAACCCATATGTGGTATCTCATACCAACATGTTAAATGGGTGTTAAAGGAACAAATAAATAGAGAACACCATAATCTCTTGATGGAACTTCCTAGACTTAGACAGTCCAAAAGATTCATAGAGGGGCCATCCACGAGCAGACAACAGTAACTGCTAAACCTTAGCAGAAGCGAACTCAAGGCCGTAATAGAACTGCGGCTTTAGAAGACACCTAAATCTCTTAGGGATATCTGATGACTCCCTATGTAGAATATGTGAAGAGGAGGACGAAACTCCTATTCACATACTATGCCACTGTCGGAACCTTAAATGGGAACGGGAATGGTACTTCGGGGTACAATATCCGGAACCTGAAGAAATCGCGAAAGCGCCCATCAGACATATTCTTAAATTCATCAAGAATCAATCTGATGGGATAGAAACTGCGTGAGGGGTATAATAAGCCTAGAGCTTCAGTACAAGTGGGCTTTGAACCACGCCCTAATTCAGATAGATAGAATGTCGAAGTGAAAACTACAGAGAGCATAAGAGCAAGCAGGAAACGAAAAATATCATGGTCGTGTGTGCTATTCGATGTGAATAGGCATACAGCAAGAGCTATTCTCACGCTTCCAGCTGGTTACGTTGATATTGTTTGTTTCCTGCTCATAACTAATAATGCCAACTCTGTAGTTTTCACTTAGACATTACCAAATCCTAATGGAAAGCGTTCAGTAACTGATACTCAGAGCTGGTCAGAGTACTGTATTAAAATACTCATGAGTACCTCCACAAAGTACTCATACACATATCTATAAGTATAAATACTTATTTGAAAAATACTGAAAGAAAATAAGTACTTTTGCAAAATTTGGAGAGTAACGAGTATTTTAAATAATTCTGGTTAGAAACTTTATATTTTTAAAATGTGTTTAAGTACCTGTGTCTATTTTTACTTTCCTGTCTGTATTCAGATAAGGAAAGTATGATAATTATGATTTTTTCGACGGATTTTTATGTTTTGGGGTTCCCTAAATCCGTTTTAAGTATTGTCACGATGATGTCTGTGTGTGTGTGTGTGTCTGTATACTCAATAACTCATGAACGTATACAGAAAAAAAATTTTTAAACTTAAGCTTTATTCTGGCCTGTGGTGAGCTGATTTTGGACAGAGTCGGAACATCTAGGCCCTAGGGGATACTTTATAGGATGTCGTTTTTATATTTTATGAAATATATCTGTTATCTACGTTTGGAGAAGAAAATTCTTCAAAAAAAGTTACTTGTTATAATATTCTCTATAATTTTTGTTTTATACAAAATTATCCTAAAATAGTCCGTATTCTAGAAGTTTGACAAAATGTAAAAAATTCAAATTTTTAAGAAAATTGTGATATCATTCTCTATAATTTTTATTCTATACATGATTTCTCTACAATAAAAACCTATACATAAAAAAATATTTCGAATAAGATGTGTGTGGAAAATGTATATATTTAGTTCATCTTCCAAACATTTACAGGGGTGATACAATAGGTTGTATAAAATAACTGGAAACACTAGACAGAAAACTCATGTGTTGGGACACATCAATTTTTAATGATTGTTTCATATATTTTCATTTTTATATGTTTTAAGTATAAAATCTCTATAATTTTAAACATGTGAGAACTGGATAATTTAAATGTTTTGTGTGGATATGTACGGTGGTACTGTGTGAAAGCTAACTGTACGTAAACACAATAGCTCCTTGACAACAGCACATTGATCTAGAGGGTAGAGAAACATCCAAAACAGGATCACTGTGCTGGCCAATAGCAGCTGGGCTTGTACCTATCATGCTGTGGTCAAGAGGCTATTGTGTTTATGAGTTACTTACTTTTAAGTTGAATAGAGTATAGTGTGATAAGTTTTTTAAGCATGTAAAATACTTTATTTATGAATAAATTCTATTCGTTTCGGAAAATAGAATGTTTCCACCTTCTGGTATAGTAAATATTATAATTTAAAAATCGAAGGACAAAACAAATAATTTAAAGTTTTGTAAAAGACCAACAAAACCCTATTCTTTCATTTTAAATGGTTTGTAGGTGTTTTCGATATATAATTTGGTTTAACAAAACTATTAGGGAAACAAAAAGAAGAGTTTTTACTAAGTTTAAATCTATTAGTGATGTTACTCATCTGTAAAAACGAATGTTGTAAATTGTTTCTTTTACCCCTTATTTTTTTAATTTTAAAGATTGCAACAGAATCTAGTAAATTCTATTTTCCCAAACATATTATTTAAAATTAAACTATGGTCAAGAAATTATCCTCCTTCAAAAAATAAATGTAGTGTTTCTATATCAACAGATTTAAATAATTTATTTTATTCCTTTACCCACATATATAAAATAATAATAGGGCAATAGTTTTTATCACTTTCTCTAAAGTTCTTGTAAACCATTTACCTGTTGATATACATATTTGTTGATGAATAAAAATGATTATTATTGCATACTTTCTTTGGAATTACATGTAACAATGTGTTCTTGTTGGAACCACCCTGTTACTATGTTTATTATTACAAGGGACATCAAGGGGTGTTCTATTATAGATTAATTCATGCCTCATGGTAGCACCTAGAGGTCTAAAATTAGATAGATAATCACATATAGAAAGTAAACTACCAATCTATTATAAATAATTTAATTAAAAATAGTTTTAACAATTTTATTTTCTTAAAAAAAATACAATAAATTATTACAGTTAATACTAAAAAGTGTACCGTTAATGCCTGATTGTAAAAAAATTAAAATTAATTAATCTGCCCAATATTTATCTTCAAAATAAATTATTAATCAGTTATTATAAAATGAACAAACCATTTTATTATTACTAAGTTTAATTTACATAAGCTTGATATTTCAATCCTTCAATAATATCTAAAACCTCCCATCGTTTAGCTGTGACCTTTTCCATTGGCAATTGCGGACAACCTAATATTCTTCCATAATGAGTAGCATAGCTAGCCAACTGTTCAGTATTACATAGTACATGTATCCCGCAATCATATCCGTTGTTTTGTTGTAAACAAGGCACGTTTTGGAATTTTCCTTGAAAGGGCATCGAAAAATATTTCAAAATTTTTTCACCTAATTCAATAGCTTGACTATCGTTGCATCCGTGTGACGAATCAAAATGAAAAACCATTCTTTCAGGTCTAGAAAACACTAGGAGGCTCCAGTGCGAGCCTCCGGAGCTGTCCGTTACCTCATTGTCATTTAGAGCAAAGAATATAAAGTCTCTTCTTTTGGAATCTACAAGTGGTTGTAAAAATGTATCCAACTCATTTAAAGGAGACACTTTTATGCACTGCGTAATTTCGGGAGCTACGAATAATACGCGGTCATGGTTTCTAAATAAATCCGTTTGTAAATATTCAAAGTAGAACGATATTATTGTATCGTTTAACCAATAAGGGCCTTTGAGTAATTCGATATCAGACGATCTTAATAAGCTTTCGTTATAGCTTAAAACGATTCTATTATTAGTCATTTCAATAAAGTACAACGGTTCATTTTTTCTGTATAATTATGGTAAATTTATGTAAATATTACGTCTGAAAGATCTTGTTCATATTTGGTTTGGTTATGAAAAATTTTGACGTTTTAAGATGTCAATTTCATCTTTTTTCTATGTTTAACATTAGATTCTGCTTCTTTTATAAACTAGTGTTGGGCCTTGTCTGTTTGCATACTTCAGAAATATATTACTGGCCTGAAAACAATGGACCGAAGTAAAAAGAAATCAATATATTTTATGCAACAAGAGTAGATACGGACAATAACAAGCTTTAGATGTTACTTGGGGGATTCCTATGCAATTTATGACAGTTGAGTATGATGTAGCAAGCAAGATATCCCCTATGAAATCGACATGTTGAAGAAACGTAAAATAACTTATAAGAAAGTATAAGAACGTAAAAGAACGTATAAGAACGTTTAAGGACGTATAAGAGCGTTTAAGAAAGTATAAGAACGTATAAGCTTTAGATGTTACTTGGGGGATTACTATGCAATCTATGACAGTTGAGTATGATGTAGCAAGCAAGATATCCCCTATGAAATCGACATGTTGAAGGAACGTAAAATAACTTATAAGAACGTAAAAGAACGTATAAGGACGTATAAGAAGATATAAGAACGTACAAGAACATATTATAAATTATAAGAACGAATAATAACGTATAAAACGTATAAGTTGGTATAATCCCAGCTAGCACATAACGTTACCAAGCCTTTCGGCGATGTTGTTTTAAGGGAACATAATAACATACCCATACAACGTAATTGCAACATTAATGAGAAGTTGTTGAGGGAAATCAAAACCTCGCGAAACATCTATTTGTTACTTACGTATTTAACCTGCCTGTTATGATAACACAACGTAATTAAGTAACTTGCTAAAAAACTTTCCACGAGAAGTACTATGGACTTTCGAACGTAGCCATTCGTTTGTCATAACCAACAAAACATAAAAAAATGTCACTTGTCACTTTTTCTTATACGTATTTGAGATTTTAAAGAAATTGGAAACTATACGTTTGAATAAGTTTGGTAAGTTGTTTTCTTCTTTTCAATAAATTTTCTAATTTATTGTTTGTTGTTTTAGATGGCAAAATTTCAATTTCCAAATACAATCAAAAATAAATCATTGTAAACAAGTAGATACAATTAAATGATGAAATATTTATTTTACACGATAATAGGGATCTTATTGATGCCTTAATACTATAGAAGTAACGATATTAAACAATGAAAGTATCGATATTTAGGCACTGAATTACTGAATTACCAATACTATCGCCATAGTGATACTTAGAAGCAAGTATTGTATCGCTATGTGTGTGGTCAGAGATTATAAGGTTTGTTCAAATATTTGTACTGAAATATTTTAGTTTTTGCATGTGGTGAAACTTGGTAATATGATTAAGCGTTACCACTGTTTTTTTGTTATTTAATTATAAGGTAAATTGCCAGTTATTGACACTATAACTTGTACCAGGTAGAGTACCAGTAGAGAAAGAAAAGGTGTCGACTACAGAATATACTTTACTGATGCACTCTTGTTATTAGTTAAGTTCCCTACTCCGTCCTGTTGAATGGGGGTTGCCAGCCGTTTAACAAAAATCTTTTACTTTTTCGATACTTTGTTACTCGAGACTTATAAATATCAATATCTTTAACATAATATCGAACAGTATCGATGCCTCTACCACAAAGTATCTCACATGATACCGGTATTGATACCTTTGACTGATACTCAACCCTACTCCCAATTATAAAAATACAAAAACAGAGAAGTCATATACTGCCATCCTAACAAGAGAAGTCCTATTTGAAAATTTATATTTATTATCTTTTAAACCTTTTTTTGTGTAACTTTTTAACATTTTAGTACCTTTGTTACAAATAAGACATTCCTTTTCAGTATCGAGAAAGATAAAATGTAGACAAATGCACATAAAAAAAACTGCTAATTTTGCAGATAAAACCTTTCTTGCTAGAACTGCAGTATAGAAGTGCTCTTGTAGTTCACTAAAGATAAATAACATTTAAATTTGTTACGTTTCAGTAAATTAAGTATTACCATTGCTGGACAGTAGTGACGTTTTGGTGGATAAATACAGCATTTCACTGGATATATATACCTATGCCATTTTGCTGTACGTTTGCTGCACAATACCAATTGCTGGACAAACTTTAAAAATGCTTTACAATACAGAAAAATTGCTGTAAGTATGGTCGCCCTAGTGTAATAATATTTTAATCACTAAAAATAAATTTTAAAAATATTGTGTTTTAGGTTTCCTTTGGGCTGGATTATAATTCTAGTAAAAATCTCAGGAATTTTAGAAGCTAAAGTTAATACAGAATTGGTTGAAGATGAATATATAACATCTGAGATTATTTCTTTTTCTTTCAGAGCAGAATATCATGCTAAAAAACATTGTTCTGTATAAGTTGAACATCCATTATTAAGTATAAAATTTGTAAAAGTCAAAATAAATGTTATTATTTATTTAAAAAAACAAAGTAAGTAAAAATCAACTAAAAATAGGTGCAACGATTTAAACGAGCATATTTTTTATTTTCTTTATATATATATTATTTTCTTAATAATAATTAAACAAGTAAATTTATTATCTACAAAGTTATTTTTACGGAAGAAACTATGTAATTAAGTTCACATATTTATTTGTTTACAGTACGCTACTGATATATAAAGTTCTAAATGGTTAAAATATCAAAATAAAATAAAAAAAAATTAATAAAATTGTCACAGTATAAAAATGAAGTCAATAGTGTAATAAAAGTTGACACTTTAAAAAATAAACCTTTTAAAATGTCATAATTTGAAAAATACTTATTGTAATTGGACATCAGTTGGTCTACAAATAAATTCTGTCCATAGTTAGTTCTATGAGCATTTACATAAAATAGTTTCATATGCCTAGTAAGTCTGGCAGGAACAAGGAATCTAATAAAGTGTACCAGGCTGTCACTATCAATCAAACCGTTCAATAACTTATACAGGAAAACAAATGATGCTTCTCGACATCTGCATTCCAAACTCTTATAGGTCCCTCTCAAAAATAACATCAAGATCATTTATAGTTTGCTCAAAACTTAGTTCAGAACCTGCAATGACAATCATGCATAATGATATTAGCTGTTTTATTAAACCTTATGACTTTACATTTATCAATATTCAGTTTATATCATATTAAAACTATCATTAGTACCAGTTGTAGGCAAATATCTTTTTTTAGCATCCTACAACTGCCATCTTAATAAAAATCTAGTGACTTTTGAAATATACCTTATATAAATACACTTTTTACTACTTTTGTACAATCGTGCACCATTTTAGCTACCAGTGAACCTTTGCAATATAGGTACCTTATTATACTCTTTCGTGCAAGCGTTCAGTGTTTTCGATTCTAGTGAACCTTTGAGATATTCCTTATATACCCTTTATACCAACTTTTGTCCAATTTGTCAGTGTTTTTTTTACCTATATTATTAATACCTACCTCTACTTGTATGATATTGGTTCTTGATTTCAAAAGCTTTTTAATAATAAATTTATACAATTTTTTATTTTGTTTTCTTCAGATTTTACTATATCCTCAATATACTATTTTGAATATAGTGTATCCAAGGATGGACATAACTATATTTGTAAAGATATTTATTTTAAATTGTTCAAAAGATCTATTTCATAATTTCTCAACGTTAATCGTATTTATTTAACAAGCAAAAGAAATTATGAAGTACTTTTAAATTTAAAATAAATATTTTTACAAGTATTGTTAAGTCCATCCGTGGACACACTGTATAATGCTGTAGAATGAATTCACATTATAACATCTATAGAAAGTTTCAGAGCAACTTTCAGGGTAAGTACCGTAAAAGTGCTAGTGTGATGTTTTCCGAACTTCACTTTTTAACTTCTGTGAGATGTGCTATAAAAGTCTTGCCGTTGCGGACATTCGGTAGTTGCAGGGATGATAGGGTTACATTAACAGTACATTGCATGCGAGCTTAAAGAGCCTAAAATTGCAGCTTATTAACGTAGATGGGATGTTTTTGTGCTAGCTGGGATAACATATTAGAACGCATCAGAACGTATACGAACGTATATAAGAACGTATAATAACGTATAAGAATGTATCAGAACGTATAAGACGGTAAAGGAACGTATAAGAACGTATAAGAGCGTATAATAACGTATACTTATAAGGCCATTTCATAAAAAAATAAGTATTTATTCATTTAGCATTTTTAATGAGTAAATTAATATTTCGAGAAACTATGTAATAGCATATATAGTTCTTCCACTATCAATTGCAGATCATAAAAACTCGTTCGGAACTTTTACCGACAATTTTGTTTGATCTGCCATAGGCGTAGATACCTACCTCATTTTATAAATTTATTTTATTAATACTTTTAATATATATCATATGCAAGAAAGTATTCGTTAAAAAGAAATCGAATAATTATAAATTGGACGTTATTATACGCCCTTATTTAGACAGACGCACTTAATTGTAATCTTACTTGTGCTTAAAAAGAAATCGTTAACTTGCTACAACTGAATATTAAATTATAAAACGTAAAAAAGCGAGTAAAGTGTACCTGCCTGTAAGGGCGTTTGGTTTAAACAGGGTACCAGACGTGAACTGAACCCTTTTTGTACCCCATTCGTTCTTTTTCTGGAAAACGAAATTTTAAAGAAAAAACCATAAAGGAAAATAAATTCTTTGCAAATAAAACAAAAGAAAAAAACAATTCAATCATAAAGTATCTTTATAAATAATCATGGCAGTTTGAATCCTCTGAACTAGAGTCATCATTTGGTTGAATTATGATGGGTTGTAAAGAGGGTAATACTACATACTCATCTTCTTCTTTGATAACACAGTTTTTCCAAAGCTCTTGGCGGTATGCTGCTAGAACTTTCTTTACGAGTTCTACAACTTCTTTACTCAGTCCTGGAGACTGATTAAATTTTCGTAATTCTGATTTTAAGTTTGCCAATATTAATTCTATAGGGTTAAATATGCAATAGTAAGGAGGTAGTCTGAGAAGAGTTTGCACAGCTTGTCAATATAATACATTTTTTCTAACTTTATACCTTTAATAACAGTAAGCAATTCTTTGTTTGTTGGTCCTTTTTTACTATCACTGGCAGGAATAGGAATATTTTTTTCAGACATAAAAGCTAAAATTTGAGCTTTTTTACTGTTACTATTTGGTATTTTAAGGAGTTGCCGCGAGTAGTAGGATGCGTTGTTCATAACGATTACTGACTGTGGTGGAATGTAAGGTAAAAGCTGTTCATTAAACCGTTTTTCAAATAATTCTGCTGTCATATCTTCATGATAATCAGCTGCACAGTTTTTAATTTGTTTAGCAGATAATAATAAAGCATTAGGCACGAAACCGTCTTTGCTTCCAGCGTGTACTATTATAATGCGTTTCCCTTTAGAACATGGCCCATTCAAACAGCAATTTTTACTACTGCCAACCCAACCGAAATTTACTACATCGTGACTGTCAAACCATTTTTCATCTAGATAAATTATGTGTCTATTAGAACTTCTGTAGCCTTTTATCTGACACAAATAATCTTGTCGCCATTGAACTATCCTTGACGATTCTGTGATTGCCATCTGTTTATTCAATTTTTTTTGTTTAAAACCACATGCTGACAAAACTTGACGCAATGTTTCCAAACTGGTATAAGTGTATACTGGAAAATCTGCCACCTTTTGCTGTATTACTTCTAATGTCGGAACCCTGTTCTCCTTATATAAACTATACATTGTCCTTCGTATAAAATCTTGGGTAGCTCTGTCAACTGATTTCAGTTTTTCGGTTTTATGAATAATCCACAGCAACCCCTTTCGTGACTATCGGAAAAACGGAAAATTTATTCACTTTAGTTAATTCAGCAATTGTTATTATGAACGCATTATCAGACTGCTGAATATTTTCCTTTTTTAAACATTCGAATATATTTAAAATAACTTGTGTTTGTATATCTAAATCCTTATCGTTAAAGTCATACCTGTCTTTAATCTCACTACACTGTGCAATTTCATTTTCTTCATTCGCCCATGGTCTAAAGAACGTCATATTTATATTTATTAAAAGAAATTTAAATTAAACCAACCACACATACAAAACACACCGCACGACAGTACTCCACTGATATCGCAGACTGTCTTCCAGGAATATTTTCGAACACCTGCCTTCCGTAAACCTTCGGCCAATACAGTGCATTTAAGTTTACGATTCGATGTTTTCATTGGTAAACAACTGATGGTTCTTTTAATATTTACCGCTTTGTATAAGGGGAGTTTTTTAATTTGGCATGAGTACCGTGCATATATATTAAATATTGATGATTCCCCACATAACTGTGTTCTGCAATTGATAATGGAAAGACTATACCTATAACGGTTACCCGACAATTGTGCCCCGGACAAATGTGCCCCTACAAAAGCGCCCCGACAAAAGCTCTTCACCACAAATGCGTTTCCGTACATAAGCGTCCCAACAAAATTTAACATTTGCTTTAATTTATTTTAATTTACCTACATTCAATTTTTGGCTGTATTTTACCCTAAAACGTAATTCTAAACAATTTTTTTAATATTTTTTGTTGTATCTTTAATAAATGCAAGTACATTCACATTTGTAGTGTTTGTTTAACGTAATTATAAACAATTTTTATTATTATTTTTTTTGTATCTTTAAGACATAATTACATTTACATTTGTGGTGCATTAGTTTTCGGTCTTTCTACATAGTAGATGTCAGATGTCTTATTTTATCTACGCCTCATTTTTAGCTGGATTGGGTGCATGAGAATGTTCAGTTAAAACAACGATGTCGTTATTAACTAATACTTTTATTTGACCTCGGCAATTCTTTTGAGGACATATCCATGATTCCGAATTGTCCATGTTCTTGCGGGCTAGTCGGTAAGGCTAAAGACACACACACGGCTGTTTCCGCCGAGTCGGCTGGCCGCCTCTGCCAAAACACACGAAGCGGTTCACAAAAGTAATGCATTTCGAGTCGAACGACGGTACGCGCGGCGGTGTAGCGTCGCTTTCTCGCAGCGCCGTATAATGTGAACAACTCCATTTATTTACATTACCACATCCGCCGAGGCGGCGGCCGAGTCGGCGGCCGACTTGGCGAAAACAGCCGTGTGTGTCTTTAGCCTAACAGTACCTATTTCTTAACAAAATTTCTTTCTTTTTTGAGATGCTATTTTCTCCATATTTTACAGATTGTTCTAACCCCTTATTATAAATCAAAACTAACGGAATAAAGCTCAAATGAATATATAAGTAGGCATGCCAGAAGTGGAGATGCAAATCTGCCAAATTATGACGAGTTAAGTATTGGGCTGACCTGCCTTATTTTTCTTACGTAAATAATCAGCTTTAAGAAATATAAACATTAGTATTAAATTAAGAAGTAAACAATTATTAATGCGCTCATCGATTTCCAAATTGGATGCAAAACATTTAATTAGGGTAATAAGGAATACCGCAGGTAGTTTCTTTTTAGGTAAATTAAAAAAACTAAAGCAAAAGTCATATTTTATTCGGGCGCTTATGTCTGGGGCGCATATGTCGGGAAGCGCATTTGTCGGGGCGTATTTGACGGGTCACCACCTATAGCGTACAGTATGGTGCCTACATTATCATAAGAACGACCATTTTCATAAAATTTCTTGTTTTGGGATACGGACATTGTTGAAGATACTGTATACTTATTATGTATAATAAATTTTACTACCTTATTTAATCTCAAACAAGTGCTTATATTATTGGGAAAATGATAACAAATCTTTTACAACAATGCCATAATTACGCAACTACTTATAACAGTATTATTATTGCATTATTGCAAGTCGTCCAATGAAAACAAATTTTTCTCACTCTGTATCACGTCGGCTATTAGATATAGATAGCTAGTACAAATATTGCGATAACAAAGGTTAAACGTATTAACTACTTAACCTAACTTTCTCTTTTCTCGGGCATTTGTTTATCAATCCAACGAGAGTGCGATATTTGAATTAAAGTAATCATGGACGCTCCTATGAATTCGAATTCGATTTCATTAACCAGATTTTTTCTGGCGGAACAGAAAAAAGCGCCGAAAGCCACTGGGGAATTGACTCAACTCTTGGCGTCTATTCAAACAGCTGTGAAAACGATTAGTAGCGCTGTTCGAAGAGCTGGTATTATACAACTGTGAGTATATCATTTTTATTATAAAACAAACGAGATTAGACCATTAAAATAGGAAACAAAATAGTCAGTGCAGCCTTGCATAAATTTCACAAAAATTAAATACTCGGAAGCCGGTGCTGGGATAGCCATAAATAAAATCAAGACTTATAAATACATTCATAGAGAGTATTGACTTGCTTAACCTTGACAAAGCTCTTGTAGTTGATTACGAAATTAAAATAAACCGGCATAATATTCAGATATACGTATACAGCGTGTCCTCGTAAATAATACGTTCTTTAACATGTTGGTTGCTATAAAGTGCATAGGTATACACGGTTCATATCAAGAACTGCTGAGGTTTAGAAATTAAAAAAAAAATTTTTTTGGGTGAGTACGTTTTCGAAATAAATTTTACTTTTTTCAAAATTTTAGAGAAAAGTTTGACCTATCGCACACTTACAGCCGTATGCATAGTCGATCGCCAGCGACTCGCCAGAGATTCATTTCACGCAAGTTTTTATTTTCTTTTATAGGGATTATCACCGGTATCTCTCGCATTTTATTCATGATTCATTTCTTAAAACTCAAAAAATAATGAACGAATATCAAATTTTTCCCTATAAAAGAACATGAAAACTTTCGTGAAATGACATTCCGGTGACAATCTCCGGCGAGTCGCCAGCTTTTTGGGCTTTCGCCGACGGATCGCCAGCGATACGCCGAAATGTATCTCTGGCGAGTCGCTGGCGATCGACTATGCATACGGCTGTCAGTGTTCTCAATCCAAAGTCTCCATTAGGTATTGTTCAATTAGGTTAAAAGTAATGGGAGATTTGGCAACGTTGGGAAATCATGGCAGTCGAGGATTTTGCCGAATTAGTCTTATACGGACTTCTAAAAATCCACATACTTTAGATCAGTGGTTCCCAAACAAAGACTTTGCGGAGCCCCAGGGCTCCGCGGACCACAATTTGAGTAACGCTGCATTAAATATATTTGTAAGCTAAGGCCACTGTAGTTTTTATTTATATGTCAATTTGAGAATCCTTCTGTTCAATAGATGAAGTAGTATTCCATATTTAATAGTTCTTTTGTTCTTCATATGGAGCAGAATTCCATATTTAATGGTTCTTCTGTTCAACAGATGGCGTAACAATTTCATTATTTATCCAGTCTCGTTTGGATATCTAATCGACATGGCAACACTGTTCAGTAAGCGTGAAAAAAAAACTACATAGATAAAAATAGAAATTACGCATTTGACAGCTGATGCAGAAAGAAGATATTCACACACGGGTGAAAAGTAGATTATTATCCACACGCGCGTAATATAGGCACTACCCGTATGACTAAATAGTGCAATATGTGTCACTTTCTTAAGTGGTCATGTGAAAACATAATAAATGATAATTTCATATTTATATGTAATACAGTGTGTCTACGTAAGTTAGCGGCATATGAATATTTTTTTAGTTATTAATTTTAGGGAAAAAAATTATTCTAGAAAAAAAGTTGTGCATGGTTTAGGACCTAAAATACGATCATCTAATATTAAATTCTTTTGAGTAAATTTACGAGTCGCCCCTGGAAAATTCGCACATACTTTCAGCTCCCTTCCAGTTGCTCAAGTGTAGTATTTTAATCCTGAGCCACTCTGCAGAATGTGGAGTTTCACAGTCGATTAGTACCTGGATGAAAGTGAATGCCTCCGAATTGAAGCCTGTGCTCCCATCCGAAGAATATTTCTTCCACTATGGATTCCTCCAATAAAGTTTGATTCGTCCGCACTCAGAATTGTTCCAGGGAACTCCTTGAGTAAGATCGTGACTCGCTCCATCTTGACAACAGTTGATAACTGCCGGAAGCGGAGGTGATGGCCATTTTCCTCTTTTTTTCAGTTCTTTGCGACGCTCCCTTCTCACTTTCTTTTAAGATCCTTGAAAATAGGTTTGATCTCATTTTCGTGGGATATGTGTTAACAGCTTTATTTTAGGCTTTCTCCGGTGTCAAGCCCTGATTAAGTTAGCGAATACACCACCTTATCCCAATTTTCCAGGTCGGGCCCCGCGACAATTCTATAAAAGCATTAAGCTCTTTCAAGATCATATTCCTAAAAAAAAAGTCTTCAAGCTAAAACTTCTCCTCCTCATCTTTAGTGAAATCTCTAAAAAAAGTCCCTCTTCTGCTCTTGTGCCGAAAAAAAAAGGCCTCATCTAAAGCTGCCGGGTCCCCACTTGAGCCCGGGCCCCGGGAATTAGTTCCGGCTACCACCCTTTCGTCGTCCCTGCCCCTGTCCCACTGAGTCCTTGCCACAGTGGGTCGTCTTTTTCACCAGGTTGTCCTAGCGGAGGTAGGGAAGGTAATTTTCTTCTATACTTTTTAAAGAGAGCTTCCCTTGCTGATAGATTGTGAGAGGAGGATGAAGAAGTAGTGCGGTAGTGCTCCTATTCTCTGCTCCCTTCGCTTCTTTTTTTGTTCTCCCGTTTTTCTCTTGCGAGATTGTCTCACTTGAGGAAGTTTGATCGCTTTGGACGTCAGACTCCGTTGGATCAGATTTGGAGGCGGTGTGTACACGCTATTTGTATTTACTATTCTTTACCATGTAAATTCCTCGAGATGCTAGTGAAGGGAAGTCGACAAGCGTAAATCCCCTGCTTGCGCTGACAAGGCCCAATACAAGGGGGTTTCGCCAAGTGTCCCCAGTGTAACGTTCGCAACCGCTTTTCCAGCTGCCATTTAGCCTTTAGCACGTTGCCTTACATCTTAACTTTGATTTTGATGGCTTGTCTGTTGTTCCTAGAACAACAATATTAACGTATCCAGCGGTGTCACGAGGCGGCAGAATTTCGATGATTGTATTTCTGCATTGACATACAGAGAGTTACCTACAAGTAGACAAGCAATATAAGCTACAAAACAATGTCCAAACAACAACCAGTCCCTCCGAACTATGACTTACCCATGTTTTATCAATTTTTTTAACCATTGCGCTGTGGAGTCGTTCTTGTCACATTTACTTTGCCATTTAGCTATGGAGGATTCTCTGGTTTTATTTCTTGCCTTGGTCCTATGTCCTTCTCTACTCTTAAATAAACTATTTTACTCTTTAAGGATTTAAATAGGTATGATTCCAAATATCCTAGACCTAAGTTGATTTTTTTGCAAAGTAGAGTACTATCAAAACCAGCATACTTTTGGATTATAAGTTTGCAATGATTTATAATCAATCACAGTGCAAGACCTCACAGAAAAACAAAAACCATTAATCTACCCGAATAACAATATTATTATTTTGACTGAAAACATAATTGCTCATTAAAATATTTACTTATATTGGCAGTTTACTTTATCATTATTTTGAAAACCAATATCAATCAAAATTTCGTAAAGTTTAAATATTTATTTTTAGTTTTGGTACAGCCGGCAATACAAATGTGCAAGGCGAAGAAGTCAAAAAATTGGACGTATTGGCTAATGAGCTATTTATTAATTTGCTCAAGTCATCATATACGGTTGCCATATTAATTTCAGAAGAAAATGAAACTGTTATAGAGGTAAAAGAACAATGACATACAGCAATCAATTTTATACTCTTTCAATAATTATACTTTTAAATTAACAGGTAGAGACCGAACAACAAGGAAAATACGTTGTAGCCTTTGACCCTCTCGATGGTTCATCTAACATTGATTGTCTAGTATCTATCGGTTCAATTTTCGCCATATTTAAAAAATCTGACAATTCTATACCGAAAATAAATGAACCTTTATTGTCTGGACATAATGTGGTAGCAGCAGGTTATGCCCTCTACGGCAGTGCTACTATGATGGTACTGTCCACAGGAAATGGTGTTCATGGATTCATGCTGGATCCCACCATCGGGGAATTTATCTTAACAGACTACAACATGAAGATTCCAAGTAAAGGCAATATATATTCTATAAATGAAGGTTATACACATCAGTGGGATGGCGCTATTCTAGAATATGTTCAGAATAAAAAGGACCCTAGTAAAGGAAAGCCTTATAATGCAAGATATGTTGGTTCTATGGTGGCTGATGTTCATAGGACTATTAAATATGGTGGTATTTTTGTTTATCCTGCAACTACGTCTTCTCCAAGAGGAAAGGTTTGTATACATTTACTCTACTTTTATCATACGATAAATTTATAAATATCTTCATCATTATCATGCATCATGTATTTCCTAAATGGTGAAAAACGCATTATAAAATTAATATGTTTAAAGGTATGAAATTAGGTATCAATTTTTGCAATTAAAGGTAAAAAATTGAGGGCCTCAAATTTTTATTTATCTATACTTAGCAAGGTATATGCAACTGGTGCTTGGTTATTCTATCCCAATATAAATGCCAGTAAGAAAACATGAGTCTCTATATTCTAGCAACGACAAGGTCATCTAAAATAAGATTCAAAATTATCCAAATGTTTTGATAATTTCTTTATCACACGACATTGCATTATAAATAATAATAAAAAATAGTATTAATCATCAATAACAAGATTTATTTGGTTGCAATTATTCATTACAGAAAAATATGAGGTGATAAAGAAATATCTTTCAATTTTCTAGACTACTGACTTTTGGCTTTTGTCCCTTTTATATTTGGCAACAGGAAAAAGCTATAGGGATCTAGATCTATATAGCGTTCGTTTTTGGCCAAAAATAAGAGTATCGTCGGGAAGGTGTACAATGAAACAAATCAATAACATTTTGTAAAATAAGTTCTATTAAATTTATTTAAAAAACAAAGATGGCGCTTAACGAGATAGGGTGAGATTACAGAACGTCTACAAATATGGCGGACTTACAAATGAAAGTATTCCAAAAAATATCTGCAAATTCGCAATATTTATTGTGGTTTATTACCCCCAACAACACTAAACCCAAATTTGGAATACGAAAACTTGATACTTGCATGTGTAAGTCAGTCATATTTGCAGATTTTTAAAGTTGCCGCCATATTTGCAGATCTGCAAAGTTGCAGACGTTCTGTAATCTCACCCCTAGTCCACAAAATTATTTTCTTTTTCCCTTCTTCGGACTCCTTGTGCTATGAAACATGGGGACACTGCAGCCCTCAAGTCTTATTGCGCCTAGTGCTTACCCATTTACTTACTCATTTTCCGGCATTCAGTGGGTGACCGCTAGGAAGTTCCACTATGAAACTAGCGCCCTAGTGCATAACTATCCAGTGCTAGCAGTTCAGAATACAAAAATATTTTACGAATTTATTAACATCTCTAAAGTATAACTTTTTTGTCTTATTTGTGTAATTCTGTAAAAATCTTTGTAACAATATGTTTTTCTTGTCTTTTAAGTATCTTTTCATGAACAAGAATATAAAAAAAAAACAATCTTGAACCTACTTGATGAGAGAGTCGTCTAAAAAATGTTTATGTACATCGGTATCATGATATTTTTTGGCCATTAAGGCCTTAGTACTTCGTTGGTACACAATTATTGCTACTATTAGGTCATACCATTGCAATAACTATCTAAATGAATTCATTGATCACGTCGTTTTTGTATTCCAGCTGCGTCTTCTATATGAATGTATCCCAATGGCTTACATAGTTTCCCAAGCAGGTGGATCAGCAAGTAATGGTAAAATCCCAATTTTAGATATCCAACCGTCAAATATTCATGAAAGATCTCCAATTTTCCTTGGATCTACTGATGACGTTAATGAAATTCTGGATATTATAAAAAAACACGAGAAAAAAGGGTGATAATTATTATTGTTTTTTGTGTAAATAACTATTATTAATAAATGATTAAATTTTCTATGAATTTTCTTACTTTTGGAAATTGTTATTGAAATTTCCTCTGTATTTATTATTTGGTAAGTATGTTCAATTAATAATTTGCACTACTATCTATTATCTTTCATGCATCAGTTAGTCACGAAAAATCTTGAAACTCTGCCACTGAACTGTATATTTAAATGGAACGCCAATGTCGTTGGATGCGCGTGGTAGAAATAGTTCTCTAACGCTGCTAAAAACGTAGTGAAATTTTCATGAAAACACTGTACTTTTAACATTTACGATACTCCGGCGCATGCCCATTATTGATGTGATCTCATGATTTTACAGAGCTGGTTTTTGCAATTTTGAGTGTGATTTTAAGGTTATTACAGTCATTCGTTTTGTTTGGTTTTGATCTTTGACGTTTTTAGATGATCTATCTTTACAGTTAATAGTTTTTAATTTCAATTTAATTGTGTGGTTTATTTCTATTTAATCGCTACTTTTTGTTTAGTGCTTTGTTCGTTTTGTGTTGAAATTAGCTTTAGAACACTTAAGTGCCTGCTTTTGGTTGATACACTATACCTAATAGTAATCAGATTTAATCAGACTCTTGTTAAAATGGGGAAAAAGTGTATGGTTTTGTGGTGTAAGAGTCAGACGCCTCCATTTTTCAGGTAAGGATGACTAGTTATTTTTTATTCAAACTAGGGGGTACCCATGTGTTTTTGACCCCCTTTTTCATACTTAAAAGGATAGCAATACGTGGTTCGGGCGTACGGGTGTTATATTTTAGCTATCTGAGCCAAATTGTCGACTAATTCTTCCCTTTTGAAGCACCCAGAACCAAAAATTATGTAGTTATCATGTGTTTTTTTTTAGATTAACTTCTGATAGGTATTCAGCTTGGATGAGGGCTTTAGGAAGAGATCCCAAGGCTGAAACGTTGACTTCTGTAAATGCCGTTTGTAGTGCACATTTCGTAGAAAGTGACTTCATTCTAGGAGGAACTAGGAAGCGTTTAAAAAAACATGCTGTGCCAGCTATTAATTTAGGACCTCGTAAGCCATTGATGTTACCTACTAATCTTCCAAGGTAATTAAGCTATGACAAATATATATTTATTAAATTATACTTTTTTTTATATGTATACCTAACTACAAAATTATATGTATGTAGATATCGATAATATATTTATGGATCAGAGCCCATTAAAACAAGACAATAATATAGAATACCTGTCATAGTCATTCAATAATAATAAAATTCTAAATAATACCTAATACTTAATAACAAATTAATTTGAAATATATCTATATTAATAAACAATTAATTAAAAATTTAAAATCTATACCTCACATACCCATATGTAACTGGTTACAAAATTCTGATGAAGAAATAATAATTAATTCTACATATTTAGTCGATTAACAGATCTTGTCACTCTATGAATAAAAGAATGAAAATCATAATTTATTATATGGAAATGTTGGCAGAATATTAATGGTCCTATAGTTACTCTAGCGTTTTACAGGGTACAGAAAAAAAAACAATTTGGGATAACATGTAGGAACAATCGGCATATGAATTAATTGGTTAAATAAAACTTTTAAGAATATTATTATTTATTACAGCTATGTGGTTGAATCAACAGATAGACCTAGCACATCATCTGGAGTTTATGAACAAAATAAAGAGAATGAAGATATCCAGGAAATAAGTAAATTTACATATGTTTCTGACTTGCAAAGGTAATAATATGAATGTTCTTTTTATAATAATAATTAATACTCACAGTTATACTAATTATAAGTACATGTTTTCTATTGTACGTATATATTTATTATAAATAAATACTTATTTACTTCGCTAGTTTATATTATTGTTTTATTTTTGACGAATCATGTACATTGTAAAAAATGTCTACCTGAAATAAATTATCTGTCTATTGTAATATTACCCACCAAGTTGCTTGGCTGTCACCGTAAATTTTTGATTCGGCCGAAACATTTATAAATATCTTATTTTTGTAAATAACATTACAAATGTGAAAGACGTATTTCTCATCTATAAAATTGCTACTAACGATAAAGAATTCTATTAATTCATTAAAGCAAAAATAAAACCTATACCTATCACTGAAAATTTTGCTTGAGATGGGGTCGTTTTTATGGAAAATTTGAATGTTACTATACTTTACTAATAAAGCTACAGTTACTTTATCTTAGTGTTTTATTTAAATGTAAATATATTTTCTCAATAAAATTAATGCAGCTAGTAAAGGTTTTTAGACTTAGTCACTTTAAACATTCTTATGCTTCCCTTTGATATGTTTGTGTAAAGAAATATATTGTTTCTATGCGCTTAACAGTCTCCATTCGATCCTTTTTGGAAAAGCCTCCAAAGGTAAGTTTTAACAAATTTATATATGGGTTTATCCATTAAAAATGATTTTTAAAGCAAATATTACTTTTGTTATTCTTAGAGTAAGCAATGATAAAATATCTATACTTTATTACATATTAATTTTGTTTTTTTAAATAGGTGGCTTTGATTCCATATTATAAAATGTTTGCATAGTTTTAAAAATAAGTAACTCCTCCTAATTCCTATTTTTTGACATCTACATACGGTAAAACAAGTGGTAAGAAATATAACTAAAGATTAAAATGGATTTTCTTATTGTTGAGTTTTAAAGATATTAATTTCTCTTAATTTAAAAAATAGTACATGAAATGGCCGAAACGGACCTGCAAAGGCACTTTGTGCGCATTCTCGCCAGTATCGTTGGGACGTAATGCGCGAATTCAATTTGACTTACTTTTGTTAATAGGAATTGGCGTTCCATTTTAAGTATACAGTTCACTGAACTCTGCTCATCGACAATAATGAGGTACTAAAAATACTTAAATATTACAGTAGATGGCGTGTTAGACAATAACAATAACCTAACTTTTTTGTTTATCTATCAATCAGACAAGAGTACGATGACATTTAAATAACTATGACCAGTCATCAACCTTTAGATGCGGATTCCATAACTCTAATCAGTTTTTTTTTGGAACACCAGAAAAAAATACCGAATGCCACGGGAGAGCTGACTCAACTTTTAACGTCTATTCAAACTGCAGCAAAAACGATTAGTAGTGCTGTTCGAAGAGCTGGTATTATAAAACTGTAAGTAATTGTTATTATTAAATTAAAAAAAACTAGACTATATTTTTCAATGAAAAATAAATGATTGCATGTCATCGAAGAGTATTGATGTTGATGCCACTACAACATTCAGGTGAAAGAAAAAATAACACCACAAAGTTATTTAAATAACACATTAGTGACACATTGATTATATTGACCATATCGGTGATCGATTCGCCATTTTGCTATGCTCATATTGTCAATTTTATAGATTACATTTCTAGTTTTCATGTTTAGTTTATTAAATTTAATATTTGTTAGAACGATTTTTGAGTGTTAAAAATATTATAAAGTACGTAATGCCCTTATGTGTTATACGTTCTTGCTCTATTCATTACTGAGGTAAATTCATAGGCCTCAATGTTATAATCTCAGACCAATATCTTTTACAATGTTGTCATCAATGAGATGGAGACTTTTAATTTATTTAGGCAATATATATTATAAACATGTTATATATTTCTTTCAAAAACATTTGGAAGAGTTCAATAAGAAACGTTTGTTTATTTTAGTTTCGGAACATCAGGCACTACAAATGTACAGGGCGAAGAAGTTAAAAAATTGGACGTTTTGGCAAACGAGCTATTTATTAATCTACTTAAGTCGTCCTATACCGTTTCCATAATGGTTTCTGAGGAAAATGAAACTGTTATCGAGGTCTAAAATTGATACACAGTAAGAATTAATCCTAAATTATTCTTTAATGTTAATAGGTAGATAAAGAACGACAAGGAAAATACATGGTAGCCTTTGATCCACTTGATGGCTCATCTAACATAGACTGTCTAGTATCCATAGGTTCTATTTTCGCCATATTTAAAAAACCTGACAATAGTGTACCAACAGTAAAAGACGCTTTAATGTCTGGACGTAACGTGGTAGCAGCAGGTTATGTGCTCTACGGCAGTGCTACTATGATGGTAATATCCACAGGAGACGGTGTTCATGGTTTCATGCTTGATCCTACCATTGGAGAATTTATCTTAACGGAGCATAATTTGAAGATTCCAAAACGAGGTAATATATATTCGATAAATGAAGGTTATACTCACCAATGGGATGAAGCTATCAAAGAATATGTTCAGAATAAGAAGGACCCCAGTAAAGGAAAGACTTATAATGCAAGATATGTTGGATCTATGGTGGCTGATATTCACAGGACTATTAAATATGGCGGTATTTTTCTTTACCCCGCAACTACAGCTTCACCAAAAGGAAAGGTTTGTATTAATTTATTCCATTAATATTTTTTTGGAAATACAAAAATCGTTAACATACTTTAATTAGAGATTCCTAAATGCCCTGTGGATAGGACAGTCAGATTGGAACCAACCGGATATTACCACCCAGACAACACACCAAATCCCAGAGATATCCACAGAATATCTTTTGTGGATATCCAATATATCCACAGGATATCAGAAATATTCCGTGGATCTAATATGGATATCCAAATGCCCGTCTATATCCAGAATATAGAAGATATCCTATGGATATTCAGCAAAATATTAAATGAGTATCTTCCAGACAATACAAGAGAAATCCCAGAGATATCCACAGAATATATTTTGTGGATATCCAATATGGATATAGAATTCAGATATTCAGCAAAATATTTTAAAGGTATCTTTAGTAGAGGTTCATAAGTAACCAATGATTATTGAATAACGTCGAAACAAAATAGAGATAAAAAATATTTCCAACAATCTGCCTTTGATTTTGCCCACTAAGGAGAAAGTCATCCTTATTAGGACTCTTCAGCAATAAATGGAAATTCTTGACCCCAGTCTCTAATAGTCTGATTGTGAAAAAGAAATTCGATCGAACTCATTTACGGCGGGTTGAGCATGAGTAGATACGAAAGTGGTATCGCCATCTATACTTAGGAAGCAAAATCAAAAATTACATCTAGTAGATATCCACGATGGTTTGCGTCCGCGCTTAGACTTTGATATATTTATATTTATAGTGGATGTCCATGGGATATTGAATACACCTTAAAAAAATTAATTTTAAATATCTGAACGGTACTATTAGCCACAATGGCGAGCACAATGGCGTAATTTTTTAATAATTTGCTATATAATTACTATTATTTATGGACATTTGCATGTCTATAAAATAAATTAGATTTCAAGGATATAAAATAGATATCCACCATGGACTGGACATTCAGTGGATATTGGGATGTTCAGTAGATATCCAAAGGATTTGGTGTGCTGTCTGGGCATCGGGGTGGTAGAAGCTTATCAAAGTGCCACTTCCAAATATGGGGCATAGACCTCACGGCGACGTTATTAACCTGCAGGATTTTGACCCTAGGCACTCCTCAAATATTTGCTGGTTGCCTCTAGACACCTCTCAGCAACAACCATCAAGTTTTTAAGGAGTTGATAACTTACAGGACTTTGATGAGCTGGAAAGATAGCTGTTTCTAAACACTTTTCAGTGATAAACAGCAGGTTTTTAACAAGTTAAAAGGCAGGTCTCATATATATCCCTGGAGGATGGACAATGGGTATAATGAGACATAAATGATGTGGAGCAACCCACCATCCCCACCTTACAAATACAGAGATATATAATCTAAATAAATAGTATTATCTAATTCAAACAAGATGTACTATGCATTTATATCAGAAGTGATACTTGAGATTGTTAAAATAAAAATGATATGAGAAAAAACTTGGAAAGTAGACATTTTCATTTACTTCTTATTGACGCGACCTCGTACATACATTTCCTTGGTAGAAATGGATGTGATGGACTCGGGGTGAAAATATAAAAAGTCCATGAACTAAAAAGACACTATCAGAAAAGTAAAACATAATAAAAACAATATCACGTCATATATTTGGTGTCTGGTATTATATATAATAACAGAACCTGTACCTATAACAAATTATGAATTTTGAAACTTGAGCATATCAAAAACTTGATTTTCCTTGTATTATATAACTATTTTTCCTTAAAATATTAACCATATTTACTGACCAACTTTATAATTACAGCTTCGACTTCTGTATGAATGTGTGCCAATGGCTTACATAGTTTCAAATGCTGGGGGATCAGCAAGTAATGGTAAAATTCCAATTTTGGATATACAACCCACAAATATTCATGAAAGAACTCCAATTTTTCTTGGATCTATTGAAGATGTCGAGGAAATTGTTGATATAATAAAAAAGCAATGTAATTGTTCGTAGTTTAGTAGAATTTATTTGTTTTTGTTGTAAAAAGTACATTAGTTCCATATACATACCTGTTTTATGTTTCAATTAGTTTGGATAATTCTAATTTTGAACTTGTTAATACCTTACATCTTATAATAAAGGACCCATTGCAAAACAGAGAAATCTTCATATACAGATAACATCACAAACTATAGAAAACCGCTAAAACCTTCCAAAATCTTAAAAGAGAAAGGATAAAGGCGCGAAAAAGTTAAAACGTTTGTGGCTTATGGCCTTCTCATATCTCTACATTCAGCGTCCAACAAAATTTTAAAATCATTGCAAAAAATATTTAAATTTCCTATTCTTTCACGTACATGTTCTATTTGTGATCACTTACATATTAAAATATATCGACAATTTAAAAAATATGGAAATTGAAGTTGTGTGACTGTATGCCTATGTCAGAAGGAGGCATAGAATGTTTTAATGATTAAGGGCCCTATTCAGTAATTTATCGTTTATGGACGACATCGTTAAGCTAACGATAGTTCAACCAACGACTTTTATAACGATAATTTTTGAAACTCTATTCAATAACAAAGTCGTTACGTTGTTTCTAGTTACCAAATCTGAACGATGATTTCTAGTAAGTTGGTATTATAATTTTAGTGTTTTGTGATAAAAGAACGTATGCTGATGATTGTACCGGGTGTTTAAATTAAAGTTTTACAGTTAAATATCGCCGAAAATATGCATTTTATAAAAAAAAGTATCAGACAAAAGTTTTATAGTTTTTTAGGGGAAACATTTTGGCTAAATTAATTTTTTTTATAGCTGACCATATGGTCATATCGAGGTGGATTTTTTTTTTTAATTGGAACCCTATTTTTTCATAAAATAATAAGAAACTTCTAAAGGAAACATTTTTTTATTGGATTTCTACTTATTGAGTAACACCCAAAAAAACTATAAAACTTTGTTTTTTTTTATAAAAGGCGGTATTTAACTGTAACCCTTTAATTTAAACACTCGGTATATTTGAGATTTTTTTGGAACGTAAAATAAAAATTCTACCAGTAGATATATTCATTTGTTTTTCAGAATATATTAATTATTGTTCTTAACCTACAACACGATCAGGAGGTCGATTCTCGATTCGTAGAAATTCTGTTTCTCGCAGGCCATTTTTGCTGGTCGTATTGTATGTAGGGTTTATTTAAATTAGTATGGATATATTAAAAAAAAAACTGAGAACTATTCCAAAAGAATACAAAAAACAACTCGAGAACAATACAAGTTGTATTTTTTATTGTATTTGAAAGACAGGCCAAATTTGTGTAGGTTACGGAGAAGTATTATAGGTACTTCCGTAATATAGGTTTTGTTACTGTTTCGCAGTGCTACTTTAGGAACAGCACTGTTAATAAGAATCCAATAGTAAATGGTTGAATGGGCAATCCTAACTTTAAATCCGATTTATTTTTAAAATAATTTGATAAATTAGAAAAAATTTCCTTACAAATTGTACTTGCTGTATTAGGTAATAGATGGCAATTTAGTTGTAAAATTTGTAAAAAAGTGCTTTTATTATTTAGAACACATCCTGATTCACAATGAAAAATGAGAGGGAATGCAAAAATCACTATAACGACACTTCATATTATTAACGAGAGCTCTTTGGCTATCGTTGATGAACGACAATTTTACAACCATAGTTGTCTATTTTCAACGACAATCGTTGTCTACTGAATAAGAAAAGTCGTCTGTGAACGATTATCGTCTATTAACGACGTCGTTCAGAGTTACTGAATAGGCCCCTAAATAGTAGGAGGTCTTATAATAAAACAAGAAGATGAAAAATTATTTAAACGTCACACGTCACACAAACGTCATAACAAAAATGGCACGTCAGCAGCAAGACGTAGACGAACTTTTCGAAATAAAAAATTATTTCTATATAGGAAACTACCAGCAATGTATCAACGAAGCTCAAAAATTAAAAAAGGTAAAACCCTCTAAATAATTACTATATAAATGTAATCTGTAATTGGATATTTTAGCCCTCAACTCCAGAAGTTGCTACCCAAAGAGATATCTTCACTTATAGATCCTACATGGCACAAAATAAGTTTTTGGTGGTATTAGATGAAATTCATGGAGCATCTCCGATCGAAATTCAACCACTGAAACTATTAGCTGATTATCTATCAGGAAAAAATAATAAAGAAGCAGTGGTAGCCCAAGTTGACCAACAAGTAGCCACAAATGCCAATAATGACACTCTGATTTTGGTTGCTGCCACTATTTACGTCAATGAAGGCAATCTGGAGGGAGCATATAAAGTATTACATGCATCAGAATGTTTGGAAGCACATGCTTTTATTATTGATATACTTTTGAAGTTGGACAGGGTAGATTTGGCTAAGAAGAAATTAAAAGAAATGCAAGATAAAGATGATGATGCTACTTTAACTCAACTGGCACAGGCTTGGATCAACATTCAAACTGTAAGTTTTAAATTGAGCTACATAAATAGTATTTTATAATAATTCTTTATTTACTATAGCATTTTACAAAAATTTTGTATACAAAGACAATACAATTACATTAATTGCAATTTAATATAATAATAGTTCATTCAAAAAAAGTTTACAGATTGTTTGGTGTACATTTTTTTTTTAATAAAGAATAAACTGAACTTTGTCATAGGTTTGTTAAAACCATATGAGGTCGTGCACGAGCTAATGACTAAGTTCAGTATCTATACCTATTTTAGTGATCAATGCAAACAATAATACTATATACTAAACCTAATATAAAATATAATCATATACAAAAACAATTTTAATAAAAGGAATAATTTAAATACACTTAAATAAGGCAAATGTACATAAAAACCTAACAAAATATAAATTATATTCAAAAAACAATTTTATTACTAGTAATAATTTAAATTGGAGTGATTTTATTTTCTATTAGGTCATGTATGTCTTTTCTCTCACAATTTAATAGAAACTTATTTAAAATGTTTTTTATCAGCTTGGTTGAATTTATGGTTAAATAAATTTTATACATATTTGGTAAAAAGTAGCATATTCTTCCAGACAGATATATAACATATCTTTGACCCACAGATTTTTTACTCGCCTCTGTAATTACATAATTATTTAATTTATTTGTGGTAGAATAATTGTGATCTATGTATAGTGTATGTATGTATAAATTACAATATGATATTACCCAAACGTAGAACAGCTCTCTGCTCATAGAAGGCTGGAGTATAAGTGCTGTAGAGCTGTAGAACTGACAAAAAAATGCAAGTATCTCATCTACATTTCACAGAAATTATTTTAGACACTCTAAAATATACGTGAAATAGATTTGATGGATAATATCTTTAATCTAAATTATTAAATAGTTTATTTATGTACCTTTAAGGTGTTCTATAAGGTATACCTTAAAGTATTGAAAGACAATTTTTCTTAAAAACTAAACCTAAAGTCTCAACTATACTGTCATATGAGATTGCAATATAAAAAACTATGTGAAAAAATATATAATTCTACCATTTTATAAGTAGGGTGAACCGTCCAGTTAATGACCACTTTAGGCAACAGTGATATATACGTATTTGTAAAAATATTCGTTTTGTTTTTAAAAGAAAAAGCAAGGAATAGCTGGATGAATTTGTTTACTAATTTAACTTATTTAACATAAAATGTAAATATGCTTATTTGTTCAAAATATTTGATAATTTTTAAGATATAATGCATAAAATCCTAGTAAATGACCAGTTCCTTTGAGTAATTGACCACATAAAATACTAGTAAATGACTACAAAACTACTTTATTGTCTAAAAGAAAACATAAAAACTTAGTGTAACATTCATATAGGAAATATGAATGTTGTGTAATTATAAACTTAATAATATACCTGCTAGTAACAATAAGAAAACAAAAAATCTATGAAATATAGAATTTTTTATGATTTTTTTATTGTTTTATAGGCAGTAATTAAAATTGGTTTTGATTACATATTATTTTGCTTCAATATTGCTTTATTTACATAGCATTCTGTCTATTTTCATCTCAATATCAATTTTCTTAATACTATCTTCAGGACACCTAAAATAAACATAGTTTTATTAGTAAAAATGATAAATTAAACAAATTGCTTTCTACTTACCCAGTTCATTATAAAATACAATACTTTGGTTTCTTCAGGTACAACAATTTCTTGTAATCCTCCAGGGTCTTAAATCATTAACAGTTAAATATTTAAATTTGTTTTTGAAATAGTAAACATTGTTTTCATTTAGTTCAAATAAAACACCTGTTGACTGTCGTTGTCAATCTAATGTCAATGTCAAAACTGGTTATTTCTCTGTCAGTGACTTAGGGTTTTTTTAGCGTTGCATTTTCAATAATATTTCTTAATGACGTCAGAGCTAGAAGTCTCTTGCTGGCGTTTGATTGGCTGTTTCAAACTTCAAGGCCAAGATTGCCGTTTTTTATTAATTTTTTTTTTTGATAATTTGGTTTTTGTTTCGGCGATTCTCTGGTCTTTTTCGTGTTAATAGCTGACTGATTAAGTAGCATCTTTGGTTTAGCCGAAATAAATATTAATTTTTACATGGTCATCCTAACTTTTAGGAGCTAAGAATTTCAAAATTGAATTAATTAAATTATTATTTACCATCGCATTTCCATATTTTTAGATTTGCCGACCTATAAAAATAGGAATATATACCATATTTTTTACTTTCCTATCTGTATACAGATATAAGGAAAGTATAGGAATCATGATTTTTTTCGACCTCGAGTTTTCGACGGATTTTTACGTTTTGAGGTCCCCTGAATCCGTTTTGACTATTTTCGCGATGATGTCTGTGTGTGTGTGTGTGTGTGTCTGTGTGTGTCTGTGTGTGTGTGTGTGTCTGTGTGTGTGTGTGTCTGTATAACGCATAACTCATGAACCGATACACAGAAAAACACCAAATTTTAAACTTAAGCTTTGTTTCAGCGTCCAATGAGCTGATTAGATTTTGGGCAGTGTCGGAACATCTGGGGGGGTACTTTATAGGTGGTCATTTTTATATTTTATGGAATATATCTGTTATTTACGTTTGGAGAAGAAAATTCTTCAAATAAAAGTTACTTCTAATATAATTATCTATAATTTTTGTTTTATGCAAAATTTTCCTAAAATGGTCCGTATTCGAGAAATTTGACAAAATGTAAAAAACATAATTTTTTATAAAAATTGTTCAAATAAAAGTTGTTTGTAATATAATTCTCTATAATTTTTGTCCTATACATAATTTCTCTAAAATGGACCGTATTCGAGATATTTGAGAAAATGTGTAAATTTCGAAATTTGAAGAAAACTCAAAAACGGATAAAGGAAAAAACATTAAATTTTAAACTTAAGGTTTATTTCGGCCTGACGTGAAATGATTAGATTTTGGACAAAGTCGGAACATCTGGGGGGGTACTTTATGGGAGGCCGTTTTTATATTTTATGGAATATATCTGTTATTTATGTTTGGAGAAGAAAATTGTTCAAATAAAAGTTACTTCTAATATTATTATCTATAATTTTTGATTTATGTCAAAATTTCCTGAAATGGTCCGTATTCGAGAAATTTGACAAAATGTGCAAAATTCTGATTTTTATGAAAATTGTTGAATTAAAAGTTGTTTGCGATATCGATTTCTATAATTTTTGTTTATACATGATTTTTCTAAAATGGACCGTAATGGAAAAGTGCTAAAATTAAATTTTTCTGTATTTTCGTTTTCAATGAATATCTATAGAAAAATGTTTCGAGGTATATATATATGTGTAAAATGTATATATCCTCTAAACATTTATAGAGATGCTGCAATAGGTTGTACAAAATAACCGGAAAATGCCTATAATAACTAGATAGGAAAGTCATGTGTTGGACACATCAGATTTTTTGGTACAGAAAAAGCCACAAATAAGGTCCGTGGTTTTGATAAACCAGCCTTTTGTGTATTTTATAATTTTGTATAACATTGGAAACTTGGATGTCTCAGCTTGATGCGGCGACAGCTTTACTGTTGAGAGCTTCAGCTTCTTGGAACACTTCCGTAGAAGGGTTTACTCCGTCTATAATGAAGGTCAGGGCTAAATATTTAATTCGTCATCCCCATGTCTTAGTTACCGGACTGCGACATGTCCTCATCACCATCTCGAAGGGATTTTTTTTCATTATCTCGTTTAAGGTCAGAAATTTCTAATTTTTCTTTTAAGTTAAATTAAGTAAATAATAATTTCTTTATCACAATTTTCATAAATCAAATTTAATAATACTTGTTTTGATGATTTTTTTTATTTGAACTACTATCTTGGTGTAAATTTAAAATATTATGTCTAAAATCCTATGAATTAGGTATTTAAAATTCACCAGCGTGTGAACCGAAATATAGCTATATTTGGGGGAGTGTGAAATCAACAATATTGTATGATTTTGAACTTAAGGTATTTACCATAGAATAATCAGCTAATGCTACGATTAGAAGATAAATTAACCATTATTTAAAAAACTCTACTATAATGAAATAAAAGAAATTGTGGTAATTTCATCATTTTATTTTCCCCAAAAGTTTTCATTTCAGGCCTAATATTTTGTTTACTTGTAAGTTTGAAACACTACCAGAACTTAATGGCGCCCAGCTTTAAGTAATTATTTATATTAATTTTTCTTGACTTATATTTCTTTGTCATCGAACCTCGACCCGCCCCGAACACGTGAGCTACCGCGCCTTGTGCCTTCGCAAAAAAAAAATCAAAGAGGGTTACATTAGTTTAAATAAATTAAAGCACTGTTTTATACTTTTCCATTTCAGAAACTGAATACACATTTCCTTGACTACATATCAGCATTGATGATTCAATGTTTTTAATGACATCCTCTTCTTTATACCATATTTTGTCATTTTTTTCTGGCCATTTCCAATTCATATGCTACTTTTTTTTTTGTATAACAACACCGGGAAAATAACTGTTCTTATATTTGACAATCACGAAATCAGCAATGGTAAATGTAGTTGGTGGCATAGATTCATTGATTTCATTTTTATCCTGGTTTTTTGTTCATTTTCCTCTAAAGATTCTTCATCTGAAATATTCAAATCACTTGAACTTGAAGAAGATTCTCTTCTCTTTAACTTTTTTGGTCTATTTTCTTTATTTTTGTTTAATTCTTCATGTCTACGTTTTTTTCCTTTCTAACTTTTTTCTTTGCTCTTTTAATTCTTCGGCAATTCTGTTTTGTTCTTCTTTCTTCTCATGATATTCTTTCCAATATTTGGAAGTTATTGCTAAAGGGGCTTTTTCTTTAACACTTTTTTAGTGACAATTTCCAACGTTGGAAAGTGTAAGTGTTCCTTCCAGGAATCTTGGACTTTAAAAGATTTTTTTGAGCTAAAATTTAAATCCAATTGTGTTTCTTTTGACTCATCATTTTCCTCATTTTGATTTTCAATTTGGATGCTTTTATTTTGAGTATTGTCTTGGTTTTCTGCATGTTCCATTTCTTCCTCAATTTGTTCACATGTATTTTCATTTTTTTAGGTACTCTTCGGGGCACTTTCTTGATTTTCTTTATTTATATAATCTACATTTCTAATTTTTTTCAACTTCCTGATAATCATCAGTTTCTGTGTCTATCATTATTAGAAAATTATTTTTCATATTTTCTCTTTCATCTTCTAATGCAATATAATTCTCGCCATTTTCTTCATTGGGTTGTCTTGATTTTCTGCATAATTTTCCAATAATTTAAATAATTTTTCATTATTTAATACTTTTTGTGCTTACAATCAAAAAAATCAAAACTGAGTTTTTAAATGAAATGTTCAATTTGTCTTCCATTGACTTCCATGCATTAATAAATTCTCTCGAACTAATAAATAAAAAAAAAATCAAAACATTTTCTTATCTTGCCTTCATTTTTTGCTCTTAGAAGGTGTTTATCATGTTTCTTCGATCATTTGATGTGATAAAACAATTAATTTTTTTTAAGAATGTGATTTTTTTCATACACCGTTGTAAAGAGGCTTTCAAGACCTTACAAATGATGTATCACTCAACCCTTCTTCCCTATTCCATTTTGAGGGGTTGAAGCGCCCCCTCATAGGGGGTTGCTGGTTCAAGCCTCAAATATACGTCAAAAGATGTCCCCCAAAGAAAATCGTCTAATGTGTTTCGGAAATTTTTCCAATTACTATGGGATAAGAAATATACGGGGTGGCTCGTCTGAGATGGAACACACTGTATAGTTGTGATCCGACAGAATTAAACACTGGTCCATAAATACTGCAAAACGATTGGTTAAGGAAATCATTCAAAAAAGATGTAAGAATATTCTTGATTCAACAAAAGTATAAATACATAAACAACACTAAAAAAACATTTGAAAACAAATGTCCGATTTTGAGATTATATTTAAATTTCTCAAAAATATATTGGATGGAAGATGGCCATAATTCGTGAAATGCAATACTGGTGCCATCTATTAACAGATAGTCACACTATCGAGTTGCACATATTACTTGTAGATGCCGAAACTTGATTTTAAATTAACGCACTTTTCTCTCACGCTCATGGAGAAACGATTATTACTCACGTTCAGGACTCGCAACGAAATGAAGACAGGCGTAACAAAAAAGTTACAAATAATGAGCCTAGTCCGAGTTGGTGCCGCTACAAATATCCGCTAAGCTAGGGGATCCGCGCTTTTCTCAGGTTCAGTACAAGCTACAAAAGGGAGACTAGCGTAACAAAAAAGTTACGAAAAACCAGCTGGGTCTCAATCTGTGCCGCTACTATGGAATTTATGGAAATTCAAGCTAGCGGATCCGCTGTCTTTTCGGACCTGGGCAAAGCTACAAATTCGCAAATAGCGTAACAAAAAAGCTACAAAAAAGCTACAAAAACCCACCAGGTCTTGTATGGTGCCGCCACAGAGTGCCCGCTAGCTTGATATAGCCAAATAAAAAACACTTAGCTCTACTTACCTTAATTACTTGTGGTTACTTGAGAAGGAAACAAAAACACATGCACTTTTAACTGACATTTATAAACTGCCGATTATGAGCAGTGTTGTCAAATGTATAAAAAAATTTGAGAATTAGATGAGGATCAATTTGCTCTATAATATGATGCCTTAGGTTATTAAAAATTCTTAATAAATCATAAATCAGTAAATATTGGTCATTTACTGGGACGTGGTCAATAACCGGACGGTTCATACTATCATTATTTTTGTCAAGGGAGATATAATGAGTTGTTTGATTTTTAGGGTGGTGATAAACTTCAAGATGCTTACTACATTTACCAAGAATTGGTTGACAAATATGGTTCAACACCACTTCTTCTGAACGGTCAAGCTGTCACATTTATAGGTCAAGCAAAATATGAAGAGGCAGAGGCAGCTTTGCAAGAGGCTATCGATAAAGATGCCAATTATCCAGATACATTGGTTAATTTTATTACCCTTCAGAGGCATATGGGCAAAGGTCCTGAGGTATGTAACCTTGATATAGTTTTCGTAGGATAAATATTGTCTTTTAGTTTTTTTTTTATTAATTTATGCATGAGGTATTTTTTCTGTTTTAATCAGTTATTTGTGGTTATTCTATTAGACAAATGATTTACGTAAGTCCAGACTTATGACAACCTATTCTTTTCCGATAATAAAAAATAAGGTTACAAAAGCCATAGACCAAATGTAAATGTTTCAACAAATACTATCATTAGCAGTAGTAGTTTTAGAAGTTTATTTTAACCTTTGAAGACATGTTTTCTCAATAAATTTTTGTTGTGGCTTGTTTTGAGCCTTTATTTTCTTTTTTAAGGGCATTAAAATGTTTTATTTGTTTTTTTTATAAAACTAGATAAAAGCAGTTTAATGTTGATTTTTATTTCAAAATATCTTCTTGTCAGTAAGTATTCAGATTAACTTATATTTATAATTTTTTAGATTGCAAACAGATATTTATCCCAGTTGAAGGACGCCAATCCTGAACATCCTTACATAAAGGATTTGAGGCAAAAAGAAAGTGAGTTTCAAAGGATTACTCAACAATATTCGCCATCTGTAACTAGCATTCCTGCATAATTTTTATTGTTTCTGTAAATATTTATAAGATGTATGTCAAATAAAGAATTAAATCAAAATGACCAATCTAATTAAAAGTATTTAGAATTTGAAGTAATCATTCAAAAAAAAATTTAATATCTTCATTGCCAACGAAAATATTCAAAAATTCAAATTTATTCTCCTTCAAATTTCTTCATTATGTTCCAATTTAGAAAAATCATGTATATGACAAAAATTATGGAGTAATTAATAACACACAACTCTTCGATTTTTTTCTATAGTCTTAAATAACAGAAATATATACTTACCTTAATAATAATAATAAATCATTTATTGTTTACCACATAAAATAAATATGCATTTCAGATAAATATTAAAGCCAATAATTAACGATGGTAAACAAAAAGAGTGGTGATAGGTCTATTGACCAATTCTTCCTCACCATCCTTTAACAAAAAAAAAAAAAAAAAATACAGAATGGTCCATATTTGTGGAATATATTAATTATTGGCTTTATTATTACGTTTCGAAAAAATCCTTGAACAGGTCGATTTTTATTTCTAAAATGACATTTTTTGAACAAAATTATTTATCTCTCTTCAACCCCTTCGGAGTAAAAGTCACACCTTTATTTTTTTTAAATAGAAAGGGGTAGCGTGTGATACCTTATTTTAAAGGGTTTTTAATTCCCTATTCAGCAGTATAAGATTTTTTGTTTTTTGTACATTTATATTCAAGAAACATCAATTTTTATTTTTAACTATTCTATTAATAATACTACAATTTTATGGTATTACATGTTCAAAATGACTGCCGTGAACTTCTTGACAATAACCAATGCGGTTATTAAATTCTTGAAGAACATCTTGTATGACGTCCGGGCCAATTTTTTCAATTTCTTCGGTGATTCTTTCTTTTAATTCGTCAATAGTCTCCGGTCGATTTAAATACACAAATAATCAAGCGGCGTTAAATCGGGAGATCGAGGTGGCCATTCAATGGCTCCACGCCTGCCAATCCATCTGTTAGGAAATACTTCATCCAAGTAGTCTCTCACTCCACGTGCATAATGTGGTGGAGCACCATCTTGTTGGAACCAAACATTTCTATCTGTTTCATCTGGATTGTTATTATCAGGATACAGAACTTGAGGTACCAAAAAATTTGTTAAAAAATATAAATTTCCTTCACCTGTCAGAGAGTCATCAAAAAAGTAAGGCCCAATGATTTTATTTTCAATAATACCACACCACACATTCACTCTTTTAGGAAACTGAGTGTGAGTCTCCATTATCCAATGAGGATTTTCTCTGCTCCAATAACGAGAATTGTGTCGGTTGACAGTAGCATTTAAGTAAAACGTTGCTTCGTCCGAAAAAAGTATTTTCTGTAAAAACTGCACATCTGCCTGACATCTGTTCACAGAATTGTAGCCTTCGGTCTGGATCGTCTTCAGATAACTCTTGTACCAACTGAATTTTATAAGGATGGTACTTTTCTTTATGTAAAAAACGAAAAATTGTTGTTTTACTGACATAGTGGGATCCCAGTTAACGGATTTAATGTCGGACTCAAAATTATCAAAATTGATTCGAGAAAACTGACGGTGTGTAATAGTTTTTATATTGGGGATGTTCGTTAATACATCAAATGTACAATAAGTTAAAAATGTCTAACTAGCTAAGTGTCTATCTAGTACGCCAGATTGCTTTATTTCAAAGTTGCTATATACAGTGGTGGTTTGCCCCTAAGGGCACTTGGGCACGTGCCCTAGTTCAATAAAATAAAAAAAAAAAATAACTTACATATTTTATATTTTCCTCAATGCCTATTATTATTATTTTATCTAATATTTAGCGCAAACCGCGTTGGCACGACACTGGACGACCGGACGTTGAGCCACGTTCCGAGAATTCCGAAATTAAGATGGGCACAGTAAAAGTGTGATCTTTTGTTTTATCTCTCATTATGATGCGAAAAACAAGGACAACGACAATATCGCTTAGCAAGAGATGAACACATGCGATGGATTATACGTCACAAGCAGGGCGCTGTTCCATGGCACAGATTACCTAGACCAGATACGAATGTACGCAGCGGCTTCTTTACCGGGTCCCTCATAAGGCGATGAGGTGCGCGTTTGTTGGACCATGATAATAATTTATTTATTGTGATTATGAAAAAACGTTAGTTGGACCATTGGAATAGTTAAGAAATAAAACTATAAAGAAAAATAACTTTTTTTTATAAAGCAGTCAAAAATATGATGAAAAAAATCAATAATATTTATAAATGGGACATAACTTTAATTTTTCTTTTGGTTTTGTCTGACTTTTTCGAGGATTTCAAATCTCTGTTTGCATATTTAAGAGTATAAAAAATTCTGAGTCTTTTAAATAATTTAATGGTGTACATTTTCGCAAATTGTTGGCAAGGATCACCAAATTCTATTTTGCTCATCTCAAAAAGGTATGCGTTGGAAATTCCAGGCTTAGTTGACAAACTATCAAATAGAGATATAAATATTTTTTCTAATTTGAAAATATAAAAGAGAAATTTTTCGCTGGGAGATTTTAAATTACCAAACACCTTTTCATCAGAGTCGTATGCTGTAAAATGCGTTACAAGTTAGAATTGTTAAGTAAATTGCATTCTTCTGAGAAATTTACGCAAATTTCGCAAGAGTAGATATGTAATGATTTTTTGATTAAATAGCCACATACATTTTGAGTGCTCATATTTAGATCCCTGTAGTCACATTCAGAAATCGTTATTGCCCCAACTGATTGTTTTGAAATATATATAATTTTCATTAAGCGGAGAATTTGTTTTCCCAAGGGAAAACCGAATCCGGGGATTCCTTTCCAGTGTGTGCCCCACTGCCGCTAGTGCCCACGAGCCGCCACTGGCTATATATATGATCAATCAAGGTCATTGTATTAGAGGATATATGAGTAGACTCACTGATTATTTGAGTGATATTAAAAAATATCATAGATTGCAAAAAAATTAGAAGATAGTCTTGATTGTATATTCAAATGGTCAATATTGAAGTCTCCTAGATAAATAATGTTGTCATAAACTGTATAAAGAGAAATTAATGTGTTTTCAAATTGGTCTAAAAAAAGGCAGTATGATCTGTGTTAGGTGGCCTATACACAACACCTACTACATATATTTTATTAACTATTTTAATTTCAACCCAAACATGTTCACAAAATGTATGTTGTTCAGATATTATAACTTTGTACCTAGTGCAGTGTATTGCATTTTTAAAAAGAATGCTACCTCTCCTTGACATAATATATATGTATCATTGACACTGTAAATAACAGGCCCACAGGGTTGCCATATCTAAACTGTCACTTCCCACAGGTAGCATTTTGACAGGTCATTGTAATGCCTAATAATTATAATACTCCCAACTTGCGCGGTTTTTCAATGGGCTTCATTGAGCTGGGATCCAACGGCGCGCGGAGGGGTACTCCAAGCGCCAAACTTGCCAGTTCCCGCTCAGTTGGATAAGGCAGGTTTGCCAATCTTCGGTCGGCGCGATGAGTCCCGTCGTCTGTCGGTAAATCAACACGGTTCAAAGGGGCGCGAACGTTGGCGAGCAACACGTGCTTACAGCTCCAACGGCGCGGCTCGGCGCGTGGTACTCTCAATGCCGTGGTAACTTTTACCATGGAGTAGAATTTTTATCATTCTATGAAGCCGAGCCGATTGTTTGGAACCCACGGGATCCAAACCATACAAACAGGAACTTAGTTTATGATGCCTGGAGGAGAATTGAAGAGCAAATGAGTGTACAATATTCAATCGCAGAATTGAAAAAATTAAATTAAATTAAAAGTCACAACCTAATATTAGTTGCAGTCGTAGAAAAATTATAGTATATAACGCGTGTGAAAATCAGTTTTCAACACTTATTGCAAAATATTCTATAATGTACTTACCTATCTCGATTTCTATACAAAGACACTCTCCACCATCTTCTTTGTTAACCGACTTCAAAAAAGGAGAAGGTTCTCAATTCGTCGTATTTTTTTTATGTATGTTCAGCGATAATTCTTTAACACGGTGTCCGATTTCCATGATTATTTTTTTGTTAGAAAGGGGATACGTCAAGGTTAGTTCCAGATACAATTAGTCAGGATCTGATGAACTATGAGAAAATAAAAAATCTCAATTTTTAAGGGCATCTGCACGATTTTGAAGTCAGTTTTTTAAATTAATTAAAAATTATTTTTGTTTTATTTTTTGTCCTTTTGCCATGCTGTAAACTCCTAACATAAAATAAAAAGCTGAGGCAGCAACGATACGCGTCCGCTCATGGTTCATTTTTTCGTGCAATTAAATCAAATTATGAAATTTTTATCGCCAACACTGCCATCGTAAAACAGACTGCAATAAGCGCGTGTCCACGTCTGCGCGATATTCATGCGCCGTGGGAACGGTCCGACCCTTGAGACTCAACCCAGGATTGCCACTCCACGCGCCGAGGAGTGCCATTCCACGCGCCGTTGGATTCCGGCTCTAGAAACACTTTGTTTATCCTTCCATATCTTTCGAAGTTTTTTTTTGAACACAAGATAATAAAAAAAAAAACACGAGACACTGCAAAAATAACTTTAATTTTCTTTCTTTATCTGTGATGTTACATTATTTGTAATATTTTTTCTTTTGTAGACTAAACTGCATTGCATCGCAAAGAGAATAGCAGAAATTAAATATAGAATCGGTATTCCTAAATATTCTAATACCAGACCAGCCACTAAAGGAGCTGTCAACTCTGTCAAAGACTGTATGCTGTCAAAACTGCTCATTACCGTTGCTTTTTCTTCAACGTTTACTTTCTTGAGTAAGTTTTCCATCGTTGAATTATCTAGCACAGTTCTAAAGAATGCCATTATATTAATGCCCATTACGAAAATCCATAATTGTGTACTAAAACCTTGTGCAAGCAAGGTTATAACTATAATAATACTGGCGTGCAAAGCTCTTTGATATCCGTCATCATTTTTATAAAACATTTTATTCATACGACCCTGCAAAATGTTAACCAGAAACATATTAAAGAAAAGCATCGTAACCAAGTATCCGATGTATTCACCCGTTATGCCCTTGGCCATAAAAACTAGTACGGCATTGCTATCAACAATCCCAAAACTTAAGGCTACTAATGCTTTTGACAGAAATATATCACAGTAAGTTTCAGACGTAGACAATGTTTTCAGGTTTTTTAACGGAGTAGTTATTTGGTCGATGGCTGTAGATTCAGCTTGATTTTGTAGCACTTCGGATGAAGGAAGGAACTGGGTCAAGACTAAAAATTAAATAGGTTTAAAAAATTGGCTACATAAGTTGATAAAGTGTAAAACTCAAAAATATAATTCCAAGTTTCACAATTTTGGTTATATATTATCTTGAGACTAGAAATTTTATCTTAGAGTTGATGTATACCAGCAGGATTAATAAGAAAAGCAAATTATAAATGTGTACATTGGCGTAGCTAAAAAGAAGGCTGGCACGGCCACTCCCGGAGTGCCCCTGAAAAGTCTATCTAATGTAATTTAATTAAAAATATAAATATAACGATTTTCTTTAAATAAATCGGTAAAAACCACTACAAATCGGATACTATTAACTTCAGCCGTGATGGCCACATTTGTGAGGAACCCATTGAGTTATTAATTATTAAATCCCAGAACTGCATTTATACAGCAAAACTACTATTTTTTAAAATATATTTCCTTCAAGTCTGACGAGGATATGGTAACTCTATTACACATTTTGTTTTTTTTTGTTTTCGATAAATTCATATAGGGTAAACTGGGGGAATTCCGGCCCTGGAGGAAATTCCGGACAGCGCATTTCTAGTTGCTGCATCCCTCTCCACAAACGTGGTATCACCCATTACAGCCAGTTGAGAGTGTTGCCACTTGTAACATAATTAAGTTAAACGATAATGTGTAACATAATCGATAATTGTAATATAATTTTTAAGTCTAGGAATTTTTTAACTTCGCAGATTTTGTTCTTATTGCATGAAACCAATTTAACAAACAAATTAAAATTATTTTATTTAATCAGTGCTGACCTCTCTTAGCAATTAAAAAAAGTTACGTTACAATACAAGTCAAAGCACCATCTGCATAAATATTACCGTACTTGTAAAACGTATCTTGCTTCACTGAGCAGGGAATCCCTCCGACTACACGGGGTTCCCTAGAATTGTAAATCCAGAAAACATTGAAAAATAATTAGTGGCGACTATATTGCCAGAGTTAAATGAAGAGGTAAATATTGAAATATTAATTGACAAATACTGGTACAAAATTTCCCAAAATCGAACATGGAAATATTGATAATCATTTTTGAAACGAATAATTTTAGTTTAGATTTAAGTTTTTGTGTTATTTTTTTGTTATTTGATTTTTTATGCTATTATAAATAAATACAAATAAGCATGACGTGTTTTTTTCCGAAACAACAAAATTAGGAAAATTGTAACATAATTTTCAAGAAAAATCGATAATTTTTGCAGCACTACACGATAATTCCTTCATCGGCGGTGGCAACACTGTTTGTTAGTACCGTCATCAGGGGCTCGATTCTCGAGTTCATTGGAAAATTTTCCCATGGGAAAAGATTCCACTACTTATATTCCCATGGTAATAGGTTATGCAATTCTCGAACTTGTCGGAATAGACATTCCCATGGAAATAATAGTTTCACGTATGTCTGATATTAAGTTCACGAATATTTCGAAATAACCAATAACATTAAAGATATTTTAAAATTTACTGTTGGTATTATTTGTATTTGTTGTGGTTTTTGGGTAACCGATTACCTGCCGAGCCTCTGCGCTGGAGTAGATGCCGTGCCGAGCAATCGCTAGCATGATCGAGGACAAGTGAAAATATTCGATTATGTATCGAGTTATTTTTAGTTTTTCTTTTCACATATTAAAAAAAGAAAAAGTAGCTTTTGTATAGAAGAGCAACGAAAGTTTCGAGAAACTAAGAAATTCTTTCGTTAACGGAAATAATAAAATTTTCGAAAAGGTCTTATTAAATTTACTACAAATTTCTCAATTTGTGTTACCTATTTGCCAGTCCCTTAGCAACTCCCACAATTTCTAACTAATTTAAGAAAATCAGTTTCTTAGTGAAAAAGAGGTAAAAATAATATACCCACATAAATAAAATAATATCAATTTATAAATACACAAAAAAAAATGTTTTAACTACAATTTCACCAAAAATCCAAGATATCCAATAATCTTTGGTTATGTCTTAGTCTTTCGCGTGGTCTTTCGTCAAATTTTCGACTTTAATGCGCAAACTCTAGTACAATTCCCATTGGAAAACACAATTTCCAATGCTCGTAAGCAGGGGAATATTTTCCCATACTTCTCATTGGAAAATATTCCACCGCTTATGCCGAGAATACGAAAACTGAATTCCCATGGGAAAATTTTATTTTCCCATGGGAATAAAAGTCTAGAATTGACCCCCTGGGCCTCAATTCTCGACTTTTTTTCCCATGGGAAAAAGATAATTTTCCTATGGGAATTTATATTTTGTATTCTCGACACATCCACTAGGAATATTTTCTCACTAAAAGTATGGGAGCAAACACACCTGGTATTTGGCATGGGAAAACAAATTTCCAATGGGAATCTGTCACCGGTGACATTTGCTAGTTACTTCAAATAATAATATTTATCTATTATTATTACTCATGGTATATTATTACTAATATACCTTTCCTAAAATGGATGAAGCTATTTTACTTTCCCAATTAAACAATATAGAAGAGGCAGAAAGAAGAGCAATTAATGTCCCAAGAGATTTTTGGTCTAAGTGAAAAAATGAGGCAGGGGATCCCTTTGAATCCTTAAATGATAGACAATTTTTCAAATATAATCAACGCAAGTTTTCTAGAATAAGCAATCCCAGAATATATTTTGTTTCATTATTAGGAATAGGCTATTTCAGAATAAATTATGTTTTATTACGCAAAATAAATAGCGACTGTTAATAACATAATGAGATGTTAAAAAAACTTGAAGCTAAAATATTGAACACTCTTAAAAATCCTTAAAATTCCTTTGTTTCTGCTATTTTTTCCAAGGCACAAATTATTCGTTCTTTTGCCAAAACATTTCTCTCTAATAACTTGAATTTTTTGTCATAATAATTTTCTTTATTAAAGTTTTTATTTTGTAACATGCGTTCAATATTTCGGCTAGTATTCAAGGTTTTAGTTAACTTTGTAGCAGCTACTCTTCGTTTTGGCTTTATTGTGCCCCTTGTACTAGGTTCAGCACATGATATATTTTCGCGTTATTTTCTAACAAAAGGGGGTTGATTGTTTTCTCTGACAAGACGGCAAGTGGCAAAACAAGAGTCAAAAGTTGACGATAGAATCAATGATCCCAACATTACTACTTGAAAGTATTGAAATATAATATTGATTATGATTGGTCAGTTTCCAATATTTACGTACTTAATACCGGACATACGTTAGACATACGAATAATCGAAATTCCCATAGGAAAAAGGTTCCTAACCTAGTCGAGAATACCATTTTATAATACCACTGGAATATAAGCATGGGAATATTTATCCATGGGAAAATTTTCCGGTGAAGTCAAGAATTGAGGCCCAGGTAGACACGTGAGGATTTTAGACAAAAATTTTAAAAGTGAAGGTAGTGCTTATAGTCCAGGGAAGTTATAAAAAATAGCGGAAATTTGTAGGGACATCAGATATCGAGATGCGGTTTTCTGCATTGTATCCAGGAAGGTCCTAGGAAAAAAGTCTATATCGTCTGGTTTAGCCATTTTTTGAAAAATGCCTTCTATGCCAGAAAATGCATTTGCCAATTGCATTATTACTTGCACGATTATAGGAACGTATGGAAACTCCGAAAAATCGCTAGGAAATCGTTACTCGGAAGGTTTTCGGAGCTGCCGAACTCGATTCTGGCATTAGAATTACCCGGAGGTGGCTCTGTGGGGGTGCACAGGGGATTAATTAGGGAGAAATGGCAGCGTGCATGAAAATTGCTCCAAACTCGCTCCAGGATGTCATTCTGGGGGGGAAATTGCATAGTCCAAAGTAAGCGCTCCAAACTCGTTACTCGGGGGTTTTCGAAAATGCCGAATTCAATTCTGGCATTAGACTTCCCCCGGGGCGCTGTCCCTAAAAATTTCCGCTATTCTGGTCGTTTTTGATCTAAATTCCCTGGACTATTATAACGGTCGTAATATTTTAAAGGTATGTATAAATTTTAAAAATGCATAAATCGGGTTTTTATTTATTTCAGCGAATAGCTTGTTCAAAATATGTTGTTTCTGTGATTTTAAGATTTAACTTAATTGTATATTTTTTTAAATATGGCTAAAAATGTTTATAAAGGGTGTCCCAACAAGAACTTGAATTTTTGATGACAAAGAAAACATATTAATTAAAAAAAAATTATGCGAATATTTTATTGGATTTTCAAGAGAAATTGTTGACATTAAACATAAAACAAAATATCTGTCAAATGGACACCGGGGCTCCGTTGGCAAGTGTATATTCGTTTGACAAAATTTTAGAAGACGTTTTCGAGAAAAATAGTTTCCATGTACTCTACTTTTTAAATACTCCCAGAGTAAATAGTTTAAGGGCGTCAAATCGCAACATCTCGGCGGCGAGTTTTGGTCTTCAAATCGAGAAATGACACGACCTGGGAATTTTGTTTGCGGTAACGCCATTGTTTCGCGTGCGGTGTGACAGGTCGCGCCGTCATGTTAAAATCACAAGTTATTTGTCTGAAAACGCCTGAAAACGTCCTCAAAGAAAGCCAACAAAAACAACTGAGCCTTTCACTGCCCAAAAAGAGAAATGGAAAGTTCACAACGCAATACCTCTCTAGAAGGAACCTCATTTGTAAAACTACTGAAACCACTCCCAGAATGTTCAAAATATCCTACTAAAAAAGGAAGAGAGAAACAACATTCAGAGATTTTCACGTCTACTCCTATGAAAGCTTTTATGGAGGAGAAAGAGAAAAAGAAACAAGATCGAATAGAAAAGAAAGAAAAAGGACAAAAAATTAAGAAAATTAATTGAAATGTTTTGATTGAAAGTGGCTTAGTTATTCAGGTGACAGTGGAAAAACGAAAACTACCAAAAACGCGAGAAAAGAAAAACCGAAAAGCTAAAGTAGTAAGATATCATCAACAAGATCAAGAGTCTTTTGTAGAAGATAATGAAATTATAGATATTAATGAAGAAGATGATGAAATTATAGCTGTTAATAAAGACATACGTCTTAATTTGGAAAAAAGTAGGGAGCTATGGATACAATGTATCATATGTAATGAATGGGTACACAAAGAGTGTGCAGATTTTAGCGATCGAAATTGGAAATGTGATTTTTGTCAATAAAAGATTTCACAGAGAGAAATTTCGGCCCCCTGCCGCTATTACCCCCATGTCACGGGTTAAACCGGACATAATTTCATTATAATTTATGAGTTGTAGACATTTGTTCCATTGTTTTGATTTATTTTGGAAAACATTTTATGTTATATCATGTATTTTATTAGCTTGTTCATAAATATCATGATCCTATCTTAAGAAGTTTTACATTTTCCTTAGGCGGCCGGAATTCCCCCAGTTTACCCTATAGAAAAATGATAAGTAGGTACTTACTTAAATTACTAACTGCATTTACTACCATGATACCATAAATGTAATCTAAACCATTGGCACGATCCAAAAGGAAGCCAATAATAAGTGCCGCACTGCTAATAAATACGGCTGCCACCATACCAAGTTTAGCCAGAGCTTCTGACTGTTTTTCATTTGCATTATTTGTTATGATCGTTCGCAACAACACTTGACTAGGACTAGAAAATGCTAAAAAAAACTTTATTGATTAGAAGAGCCAAAAGTGGCAGGTACGATTCATATCTACACCGATGGTTATAAAACAAAACAAGGCGCAGGATTTGTAATATACTCCAGATTCTTAAACCTAAACATAAAGCAGTCCTTTTACAAAAATAATTATGTATATGTACTCAGTAATGTAATTCCTTTATAATATTTGTATTCATTGTCCCATTTTTTATAACAAGGTAATAATATTCTCACTTCCCAGTCTTCAGGTATTTTTGTTTATTCTATATCTTATATTTTTAAAATTTCTTTCCCATTTTCAACTGTTTTTCAATATCTCTGTTGTTTTCCCATCATTTCTTGCTGCTTTGACTCTTTTTGCATTTTTATTGCTTCTACTATTTCTTCTGATGTTATTTCAACTTGTTCTGTAGACTCATTGTTTTCTATGCTATGTATCGCATTCTTTTTCTCCATTTTATTTTCTGTATCCATTATTTATGTATTGAATAATTCCTCAAAACATTTTTTCCATTATTTTCTCGTCTTCTGTAATTTTTCTTTCTTTTGCGCCTTCAAATTCTTGTCATGATTTTTTTTAGTGATTTTATTAGTTCTTTCATTTTTATTTTTTGGTCTTTATATCTGCTATGAGTTTAATTACTCTTATTGCTAAGGTATTTTTACCATTTTTGTTTCTTCAATTTTATTTCCTGTATTATTTTCCTTTTACAATAATAAATAAATATACATATGATAAATACTGTTATTATGAATTTTAGAAACATTACAAATTTTAAAACGTTAGTAACCAAATAAATTACAAGAAAATATTTTTTTATTTTATATTTTTTTTTTTAATTAATTTTTATTAGTTATTAAATAATCTGTAGAATTATTTTTTATTTCTAATTGATAAAGTAATTGCTGTTTCTGTTTTATTAAGCAGAATATTAAATTTTAACATTACGATAAACAGTTGTAAAGGAAACCATACACGACCGTGAATATAAAAGTGAAATAATAATTACCTAAAAGTAATCTGCATAAAAATAAATACTTTAACGACTGACTGGCATATGTTAAAATGGGAGCAATTAAGCCAGCAAAAAGGCACCAAGTTAATAGTTTTGACGTTCCTCTTTTGTCACTCAGGCTACCCTAAAAAACAATTAATTTCATCAAAATCAAAATACTGAATTTAATAAAGGAATGAAGTATAGGTTTTTCGAAATTTTTTGTGAATATTATAGTTTATCTAAGTATTAACTCTTAAACTACTTTACTCTCAAAACGTAAAAACAAACTTAAATTTTTAGAAAAACTATTTCGGCTCAGCAGACCCGATTTCGAAACTCGTTTCAGCAGTCAACGTGTTACAAATAAATTAAATTATACATACTGCTATTGGTTTCCATAAAAAACACAGAAGTGCACTGCAGGATCCAGCAATTCCAATAAAAGTATATGATCCTTTAAGTCCTAGAACTGTTCTTACAAATACAGCATTGTAGAAAAAGGTGTTCATTAAATCCTGCAAAATATGAAATTTTTTATTTTTTATTTTTAGAATAAACTAGTAGATATAAAGTATTTTTTTTTTAAATTCGTCACCATATTTTAAAAGTTGAAAACAATTCTTTGTGAATGCATTAATATTGAGATTTAAGTGAATATGGTGGATCTATTCAGTTTTGTACATAAGTTTGTTAATATGTGAATTTAATGAATTTGTCTCTTTGGTAGGATTAAATAATGCAGCAGTAGTTGGTCTACTTCTACCTGATTAGGGTCTAACTATCCTATAATCTTAAATTGTTACATCAAAAAAATATATGTTACAGAATAAAACAAGGTAACTATACTTTTAAACTTTATTTTTCTTTTGGAAAAATAAATTTGTTAACTGTATTTATACTTAGAATTAATTGTTCTGTTTGAATCAAAACAAACCTACCCAATAAACATTTTGTGTAACGGAATAAAAGGCCCAATAACTATTACCGTCCAATTGTAATAATGGCCATTTAACTATTATAATTAAAAGGCCGGCATATATAGGTCGCAGTTAGGCCGAAGTCACTTAGCCATCAAATTTAGTTAATAGGCCTCCATGTTCCCTTTTATGTTTAGAAATAAATTTTTTTGCAATTAGTGGTCTATTAATGGAAAGTTAATGGGAAATTGCAGGCCTTTTACCATATTAATACTGACTGCTGAATAAAGGTCATGTTGCCAGTGGAATGGCCAGACAAGCAAAGGTATTGCCACTTTGACCAGTAGTACAGTTTGAACTATAAATTCTATACTAAAAGAGAAAGCATTCCAATATATAATATTATAGACAAGACATTTTATTTAATTCATAAGAGTAAAAAATTTTGATGAATACCAGCAATCTAGAGGTGGAGAACTATCGATAGTCATAGGGAATAATCGATAGTTTTCGATAGTCTAATACTGACAGTTGACGTCTAATAATGACAGTTGACATTGATAGTTTGACTTCTTTCAATGTATATCCCAGAGGAAAAGGTAAGTGGTTTATTATAAATAATTTTTATTATATGTTTCTGGACGACTTGTAGTTTTTTATAAAGTTGTTTGTTGCAGCGCCACAGGCAACGATGGCATAATTAAGATGACTTTCTACTAAGGAATAGTAAATGATTCACATTTGACTGATAGTAAGAACTTTTTAGAGATATTTAAATTTAAACATGATCTGTCTTAATTTGTTTGAAAGATGCTGAATGTGTTTATCTCATTTAAGATGCTGATGAAGATGGATTCCCAAATATTTAATATTATCAGCATTATGAATTTTAGTCACACTGGATGCAGAGTTTATTAAAGACCGGCAATCAATTTATATAGGATGCAAACGGAAGAAACCACGTTTTGATAAAGTTAATTTTTAGGAGTCTGTTATTAAACCAATTAATAATTTTTTTAAAGTCTTCTTGTACTACTCTTTGAAGGGAGGGTTAATTTGCATCGTTATAAATAACTGCTGTGTCATTAGCAATACTTAATATTTCTCCCCTCATGTCTAATTTGAAAATGCCATTTAAATAGAGAATAAAGAGGAGTGGCCCTAAAACTGTACCTTGGGGTATTTCATATCTTATAGGAAGAGAGTTGCTACTTTAAGACGACTTTGTGCTATCTGGGTAATTCACGTGTCAACAAATACAGTGAGCACCATAAGTCTTACCCCCCCTATCTAACTCATTACTGGAGTCTTGTTAGGAAAATTGCCGAGACACGTCGATTTTTGTTTTCTACAATGTACATTTTTGTATGAATAGTTTACCCTTAATTTCATCCCTTACTGCAGGGGAGCAACCCTTTCGAAAAATTTAAATGGCATGGGGTGGTGAGTGATAGCTCATTTGAAAGAGAGTTTTATTCTCTATTCAACCGTGTAAAAAATTTTAAAATTTTCTTCATTAATTCTCGACTAATTGTTGTTTGAGAATAACGGAAATTAACGTAGCGCACCCATCCTTAGAATTAAAATTCGGCCCTGCATGACTTCGGTTTTGGTTCAGACGTGAAGTAAGACTTTTTGCCATTAGAAGGTCACTGTTAGTTTAGTTGCTTTCCTATTTTGTGAGGTTTTGTTATTTTTAAACATTAATAAATCAACACGTAATGAAGCAGATTTCAAATTTTTTTGCACGGTTGAATAGAGAATAGAACCCCCTTTCAAATGAGCTATCACTCACCACCCCATCCAGTAAGGGATGAAATTAAAGGTAAACTAATCATACAAAAATGTACATTGTAGAACTCAAAAATTGACGTGTCTCGGCAATTTTCCTAAGAAGACTCCAGTAATGAGTTAGATAGGGGGGGGGGTAAGACTTATGGTGCTCACTGTATAAATTGCAGATCGCTTTAATCCCGAAAGGGTTACGTTTAATACCAAACATAACTTTTGTGTTTTTGTTTTTATATATTGTGTCTAGAGTAATTTTTATTGTAATTTCAATAATGTGTAATAACTGAATTTTACTTACCAAAGCAAATATGATGTATGCGACAGCCATTTTGTTTAACGAAGTCTTCAGTATTTTAAAATTTATAACCTATATCATTTGATCACTCTCTGTAATGTATTAATATTTAATAATATTATAACAATAGAAACTCTACCTTTACACTAAAAGAAATGCATATAGGTACCTACTTTTCTACTAGTACTAAATTGAAGGTTGTTGATAGATAAGATTATTTTTAAAATGATTATGAACTTGAATAAATCGTCCTGATTTATCGCACATACCTAATTTTAATCTAATTACTGTAATATATGATTTTAATATGATAAAATACCATAAATGCCACACTTAAAAAATACTCTCTTTACATAAGTAAAAAGTTCAAGTAAAAATGCTTGACATTCTAAACGATTTATCTATATGATAACATAACCTCTTTTGAAGGTTTTTAAAATTAATATATTAAACCTAATTAAAAAATATAAGCGTCGTAATAGGAGGTTGCTGTAAACAACGTGCATTCTAGATTGCATACAGTAATTATTATGTATTTAAAACGCTTTTACAACATCATTGGAAATATACAAGGTGTTTCCAATACACAATGCTCTTTTTATAAGTTTCCAACATACTTTATAATTTACGCAAATATCTTTTAATACGAGAGAGACGCTAAATTGATAGTTTCTAAGAAATTATTTGATTTTGCAGGAAATGCCTTAGCGATGAAGTTAGAAATTTTAAAATATTTTCTAGAAGTTTTTAGGGACCACCTTTGTTAATAAAAAATCTCAGATCTGTAGAATAAACGGTTCTTTTTTACTAATATTAAGTAAAAATATTTGTGATCTTTTTTCCTTAAGCTTGTACATTGTGTGATAACATTGGCAACGTTAACTGGAATGTTTTGATTTAATCTTGCACTACGATAATCAGATATCTTAAGTAAAGAAAAATTTCATTTAGTGAAGTAGGTATATCCTTTTAAAAAAAGTAATTGTTTCATGTAAATTAGGAGATTTACATATATATTTGTGTTAAACAATAAAACATTCCAATTGCTTACCTCAAGTGACCTTATTGATCTATCTGATATATGCTGATATCTTTTAAAATTACCATTACTCAATTGATTGCAATTATTTCATGCAATGTTGCCAATTTAAAGCAAAATCATGAGCAATGAAGAAGTAAATGAAATGGTTCAAGGAATTTAATCCGCTATCTACACTGGTGAATAGAGGTGAAGAACTACCGATAGTTGGCACTATTGATAGTTATCGAGAGTCAAGGCTTTCACTATCGATACCATCGATAGTACTCGATAGTTTGAAAAAAAATCTCTGTTCATATCTCTTTATTAACTAACGAATAATTTTTATTTAAAAACGTTAAACTATCAATATTTTTTGGCTTATGCATTGTCCGTCTCTCAGTAGCTATCTGTCCTGTAGCACTGAAGACCAGTGGCGGATCGTGGGAACTAGCGGCAATGGGGCACACACTGGAAAGGAATCCCGGGATTCGTTTTTCCCTTAGGAAAACAAGTTCTCCGCTTAATGAAAATTAAATATATTTCAAAACAATCAGTTGGGGCAATAACGATTTCTGAATGTGACTACAGGGAGCTAAATGTGACCACTCAAAATGCATTTAACTATGTATGTGGCTATTTAATCAAAAAATCATTACATATCCACTCCAGCGAAATTTGCGTAAATTTCTCAGAAGAATGAAATTCTAACTTGCTAACGCATTTTAAAGCATACGAGTCTGAAGAAAAGGTGTTTGGCAATTTAAAATAGTGGAATCTCATTTTTGGAGCAAGTGGGCAGCCTGTGTTCAACTGCGCACTCATCTATCAATTATTGCCGATGCAGCCATTTTTTCAGAGCCATTGATAAAAATAATAAAAATGTGCGAGGAAAATAAAAAAGAGACCTATCAAATGGTCTCCAACATTTTCTACAACCTTGAGATTAAACATCCAGCCAATGAATAATATTTAACATTTTAAGCCTTTATCAGTTAATCTTAATAATTCGAAAAAAAAAATAGTAATATTTTAGATACTGTTGAGAACTGGAATCATTTACGACATATCTTCAAGGAAGATGTGGAATACAGGCAGCTTATGTTTGTCAAAAAGATTGTGTCAAAAGTGAGACAAAAGATAGTGCTAATTTTTCGTATGTCTGTTTCTGTCGCTTTACTTGGCTTTGAAAACCATTAACGAGATATATGGAAATACTGGAATGACATATAAAGTTGAGAGACAGCAGAACATGTAAATTTTTAATTAATTTGCATGAGACATTATAGGATTTGATTTATGCAGTATAAGCAGTAATTTAACTTCTGTTGATATGACATCCAGATTACAAATCACCATACGTTATCATTAAGATGATGTTAGGTAGGAGATTTTCGTGACTTGCAAGTCAAAGACACATCTTTAAGTCGCCACAGCAAATAATAGTAATAATAGCCGTCTCTTCAACACAAGCTCAGTCGCCTTTGTGGGTTGAAAGGGTTGAGTTTTTTGGGGGCCCACTCGCAAGATTTTTCTTGGGCCTCTCCCACAGACTAAAAAATAAGTAAACAAAAAATATCATAAAAAATGTACTAAAGACCAAAACATAAAATATGGCTTGTAAAAGTAAAAATTAAATGATTTTACGTTAAATTAGCTTTTAAGATTTCTTGTTAAACTCTTATCATTTCTAATAATGTATACGGTGGTTGCAAAAATTGCGAAATCTGTGAAAAATATATATTTTGTGAGAATACCTTGCTAAATTTGGACACCTCTGAATAACCTGAGGCCCTCCCGCACCGCTGTCTCTGCTGGCCTGTCAGGCACTCCACTGAGTATTATTTTTATTATTCCCTTATCGTATGAATATTCTTATTTTTGTCCCTCCTCAGGTATAGTTTTGCACTATATCGAATATGTATGAAAAGCTGTTTTGTTGTTGGAGCAAACAGTTCAAGTTGATACATCTCTGTGAGCAGATCAATATAGTTAATAATAATTAGTATTTTAGTAAATGTCCATATACATTAGTATATTATTTGAGTATACATGAATGAATTAGTATATTTAGTGTAAATAAATTACGAGTAGAATAATAAACTGTTTAAAATAAATAAAAGTTAGATCATGTTACTTAGATACAGCTTAACTGTATCTGAATTATTCAAAATAAAAGTTAACAAGAGGCTGACATTTAGGATATAATTTAACAAAATTGGCAGTAGTCTCAACATTTTTAAACCTAATTAAACCTATAAGACAAACAAATATTTTTAAATAAACACCCAAAAAATGAAATTAAAATGTTGTACCTACAATGGCCCGATATACTAAATACACTGCTCAACAATTGAAGTGGATATTTTAAAATTTTGTTTTTTTGTGAATAATTTAAAATAAAATAAAAAAAATCATGTAACAGAAAATTTTTTATTGATTATATGTATAACTGAAAAGAAAAACCATTTTATTGAAAATTACAGGAAAATTAAAAAATTTGAGAAAGAAACAACAAAAAAATTTTTGCTGTGCGCACTTTACAAAATCCCTATAAAAAATTAATATCTTATTGGACCTCCCATGGCTTGTCTTAGTACTGTCACTCTATTTAGCATGCTCTCTACTAAATTATTGATAAATTGCTGAGGTATGGATTCCAAATTGCCTGCAACTCATTACCCAACTGTTCTAAGGTTTGGGGAGGCTGTTGACTTCGGTTTAATCACTTAGACATTTCAGCCCAAACATGCTCGTTACAATTCATATCTGGTGAACAGGGTGGCCAATCCATTCTTGTAGTTCCATGATGTTCTATGCAATCGTTAACAATTCTCGCACGGTGAGAACGAGCATTTTCGTCAATAAAAACAAATCGTTCACCTATTGCACCAAAAAATGGTACAATTATCGGCTCTATAACCCTGTCCCGATATCGTATGGCAGTCATTGTCTCATTAGTTAAGACCACTAAATCAGTGCGACCATTATAACCAGAGATAACAGATATATAAGCAGTCATTCATAAAATATAATATTCATGGTGCCAACAATAGTTAGTACTGTATAGTTTCTATTTCTAGACGCGGGGCGAGGCGACGAAAGGTGAGAAGTAAGAGAAGGGATAGAGTGAAGGATTTTACGTAGTTTTATCAATGAATAACTGCCCGAGCTTATACTACATAACGTAAATTTCCATGCCGGTGTAAGCCCTGTTGCCACTTCCAATTTAACATCTCTAGGTTTTGGAATTTGTTGAAAATTATTACATCTAATTTAATGAAATTACATCTAATTTGGTTAAAAATGGCTATTTTTTGTTCTAATGCTCAATTAGGTCTTTGTAGAAAGTATTTTTTTTATAATTATTTAAAATCATTTACATTAGCCCTTATGGTCGAAAAAAAAATTTAAACGTCAATATCTCGGTTTCAACCGTCTACAAATTTGTATAAAAAATGTTCTTTTAGAAATATACTTCTCATTTGACGAAAAACGAAGGCATAAATGAAAAACAACTATTCTTTATAAAAGTTTCGCCTATATATTGACAAGGTAAAAGTACTTTCGTCATATTTTTTGCTTTTAAATTAACAAAAATATAGCAATAAACAATTAACAACAACAAGCAAACATTAAAGGCAGAGCCTCTCGACTCTTTATGCATCTATCTCAGTATTGAAATGTATGCAATCAGTTTGAATCTCTAACATTATTTTATACAGGGATTATTGATTTTTCCACTATGAATAATAGGGTGTATTAATTACTTCAAGATTTTTTTTTATTTTTGGTGGAAAATGAAAAATAAGAAAATATAAACTATTTATTAAAGGTATTTATTGAAGTATCAATTATAAACAGCAAGGCTATTGCTTTGCAAAATACAATAAATCCCCAATATAAATAAATTATAATAACAATAATAATTGGAAGGAAGTATATAAAGCATAAATTAATAATATTAAAATTTATAATTACACGACTTTCAAACTAATCAGAATCAGATTCACCACACGAATCAACATTTTCCAAAACATTAGCGGCTGTGCCATACAGGTGCAGGAACCGATACAGCAAATATTTTTTTTCTGCATTTGCAAATTTTGCTTCCACAGTCTAAAACAGAATATTATTGTTAGAATATTGTATAGTATCTTTTTGCATTTGCATGATGTAAGTTCTGTTATGTCTGGTGGCAGGTCGGACAGAGTCTTAAAAGTGGGTATCAGACTTCCATCTTGATCTACTTTCCATCCATACTCTTCAACATTAGGAAGCTGCATCTGGGTTTAAAGAGGTTAGCCAAATATTTAGCTGGTAAAAACATCTTAAACAATGTAGTCTTAGGGCGTCTTCAGTCGGTGGCAATTTAGCAATGGTTTTTGAAGAGGCCAATAATCCCCCCAAAATGTTAATGGAAGTAACATTGGCAGTTTTGAATAAATTTTTATGAAAATTCTTTCAAGATTAGAGAATATGTTTTCAGAGTACTGATCAATGCCAAATCCATCCAAAAAGTAATGGTGTTAAAGTTTTCCAACAGGTTCTTTTCCCAATGCTGGACAATTAGCTGGTTGTATCACAACCGGTCAGAGAATGAAAAGCAGGCACATTTTTTAGAAGGTTTTCATCCAAATTTAAATAATGTACTGCTAGAAATCGTCTTGAGTCTCCTCGCCCTGTTCTGAACCATATATCTTTAGTCAAAAACTTCTTAAAATAAATTAATAAGACATCTGTATCGTTGCAATAAATAATGCAGCGTGAATGCCCCGAATTTTTGGCTGACAATATGTGCAATAAGATACGATTATTAGCGTCTTCGTGATTTGAATTTAAAAAATCGTCTTTTGATGGTTTAAAATCTTTCCATATTTATTGATTATTGCGAGTTTTGAAGAAGTTGCTCTGGCAGAAAATGTGTTAAACGTCTTTTGTTAAATATCGAATGAATAAACAAGTTCTATTGTTGCGGAAGTAGAATATTGGGTCGGTCAATTTCTATATCAATTGATTTCTGAAATCCTCTCTTTTGACGTGTTGTATTTTTGATAGAATGTCCTTTATAATGATCAAATACCACATCTATCATTTGAGCATTAAATTTATTTCTAAAAATAATGTTTACAAATATATGAGCATATTCTTTAAATGATATGCAACTTTTGAGCTTTCCTATTTTGATATAATTTTTGTCTTTGCTACTTGTAGCAACAAATCCGTAATTAAAATTTTAAACGAAAACTTATGACTTACCCAAATATATTCAGCTGCAACAGGATGAATGTAGATATAATAAAGATGCAAAAATGTCTATATTTTTTCCCAATTTATTAGGTAATTTAATATATAACACATACACTTATTAATTCTTTAGTAAAAACAGATAACAATATGACACATTGCCCAATGGAACATAACGAGAAGTTTTATAATAAAAAAAATGAAAAATCCTACCATATCAATAATGTGATACATCAGCCGGCACGTAGAGAGAAACAGAGCTATGCTACGTTTGAAGGTGAAGAGAAAGATACACTGAGAGTTGATAAATTTGGCGGTGAGAATTAATAACAGCATAAACCTATGACATCTCTCATCGTTTATTGTTATATCTTTGTTAATTCAAAAGCAAAAAATATGGTGTTTACTCTGTTACCTTGTCAACACATAACCAAAAATTTTATAAGGAATGTTTTTTTTTTTCATTTAGGCCTTCGTTTTTTGTTAAATGAGTGGTATATTTAAAAAAGACGACTTTTTAACTAAATTTTTGAAGGGCTAAAACCAAGATATTTACGTTTATATTTTTTTTCAGCCGTAAGTGCTAATGCAAATGATTTTTTTTAAATAAGTATGAACAATTACTCCCTACAAAGATTTTATTGTGCATTTGATCAAAAAATGAGTATTTTTTTCTCTATTCGGTGGTATCAATATCTGAATTTTTGATGATAATGCCCTTCTGCACACTCTAATTTTGTATTAACTCCGGAATAAGGGTTATCTTATCATGACCTTTCATCTGTGAAAAATTCAGCCTTGTGACAAAAGAGTGGGAGGTGAATCGTTTTCTTGAGCGAATATTTTAATACATACACTTTACTAACAATGACAACAGCGGATATTATGTCCTACTGTGTCCCTTAGAATATGTCTTATTCACGGCCGCACGATATTTGTTAGTAGTTACATCTCCTGGTTATCTCTGATTATAACATATGCCTCCCCAGACGCAAACTGATCCACCACCAAAAAGAGTTGTTGGGGCCATTAAATTTTCATTGTATCGCTGTCCTCTTTCTCGCCATACCAGTATTCGGTCATCACACGTATACAAACGAAATCTGGACTCGTCGGTAAAGAGGCAGTGCCTCCAATTTTGAAAAGTCCAAAAACTGTTCTTCCGCCTACCGATATCGGTATACAAGTTGCTCCGCCGTCAGTCTTGGGTGTGTTGTGCGACGTCTAGCTCTTAAGTTACATGCATGCAACCTTCTTCTGATAGTTTAACCAGAAATTACTCGTCCAGTAGCTTGTCTAAAGAAGGTGTTAATTCTTGAAGCCGTAAATGTTCGGTTTCTTCTCGCAGTCAGGACTATAAAGCGGTCTTGAGCACGAGTTGTAGCTCGTTCTCGTCCTCTCCCATGTGTGTACGCTGCAGACCCAGTTGCTAAATACCGATTCCAAGCACGACTTACGACACTCTGAGACACATTTATCCGCTTGGCGACTTCTTCTTAGGACAAACCTTCCTCTATCCAATGCACTAATTACTGCAGTTGCACTGCCTCTTATCGTCGTAGCGGCATATTATTTACTCGAATACACAAAATTATTGATAAAAGTAACAGAACAAAGTAAGAACAAGCTCTTCTGCACAACTGATACTTTACTATTTTTAAACAACCATCCTGCAATTTTCGTGAAAGAGATAGGAGCATTGACAACGAACAATAAACATGCAAAACATAATCGATGTGAATACGGTTTATTGATAATATAAAAAAATTTTTTTTTTAAATATGTTTAAATATAAATTTTAGGATTTTAGAAATTATCTAGTTCAATTGTTGAGCAGTGTATATCGGCGAAGGTAAAATTTTAATCAACCCAAACCAGGTCTGGTTTGAATAGTTATGAGATATCTCGCCAGTAGGTGATAAAATTATGCAAATTGTTAATATTTTGCTAGTAATTACCGAACCTGTAACTATCAGAGGCGATTAACAAATAAACAGCAGTTTAAGTCTTATTGTTTCTGATAGTGGTTGGTGGAACCAACGTCAGAATGAATGCTACCGACACTAAATATACATTAGTACCACAGGATAATGTCAGAGTGAGTGCGAACAATAAAAAAATCGATGAAAATAGTTTAGTGTTAGAGCAAAAATCTTCAAAAAATAAAAAAGGTAAGTTATTAATATCAAGAGAGGCTCTAAACTCACGCACTCCCTATAGATGGTTTTGCCAATAACCTATACACCGTGTCCCACGTAAGGCGGGCATTACAACTTTATGGAGAATAAATTAATTTGTATTTTCGCCATTTTCTGAGTATACATAATCGAATATGCTCTTTTGAATTAAAATAAAATGAACTCTGTGCAACTTCCGGTTATACCGGAAGTGACCACTAACTTCGCTATTTTAAAGGGAATACCCCATATTTTTTTTTAAATTTTAGATTCAGCATGAAATTCTGTAAACAACGATACCCCATTTGCCTATTCTAGTTATAGCGGATTTGGCGTTATTCAGTTTTTTATAAACTTTTACATGCCGGCAGACATTTGCTTTTTTAAATTTACTTGTACATCGTTTGTTCGACTGTGTGTTTGGAAATTATTTTAAAAAATAAATATTTTAAACATGAAAAATTTTTTTATTTTAGATGGAAAATCCTGTATATTTTTATTTCATTTTGTTCAGAAAATTATTCTTCATTGATCTTCATTTGCACTATTAATTCCCTATAATTATCTCTCGCCAATTTTAAGAAAATTTAAATTTAAATTTTACGCATGCACCTACATAATATAGTATAGTTATACATTTTAATTTTTTATCTTAGTATGCCGTGGAAATATGCTAAACAACAATCTGTCAACAAACTGAATTGTCATATTTCTATGTATGTAAGTTGTGCATTTTGTGCTTTCAAAATATGGAAAATATGGAAAATATTGAAGAATATACCAACCAAGATATTCTTAATTTATTTTACATTCATGGAGAATGTAATCGAATCAAAAGTAGAACCTGCCGCATGTTTAATGAACGATACCCTCATTTACCACCAATGAACAGACAGAAATTTGATAGAATCGAAGCTAACTTTTTGAATAATTTTAAACAAAACCCGGGAAGAAACCGCCAACATTATGTCCGAGATGAAGAAGTTAATCTAATTAACGTATTAGGGTATTTTACTGCGTATCCTCACGCCTCCATTAGAATGGCTCAAGATAATTTAAATATTAGTCGAGGGTCAATACAACGAATTTTAGCACTAAATAAATGGCATGCTATGCACAAAGAAAAGTTCATGAGTTGCGAGATGGTGATCAAATAAGACGAACTGAATTATGCGAATGGTTATTGGTACGAATTCAAGAAGATCCCGAGATTTTAAACAAAATTTTGTGGTCAGACGCGTCGAAATTTACACGTAAAGGGATCATCAATCGCAAGCAATGTCATTTCTGGGCAAACGAAAATCCACATTTTTATCGTGAAGCACAATAATTTCAGTACGAATTTAGTTTTAATGTGTTTGCAGTGATCGGTTTTGGAAGAGGTTTTTATTACATTTATAATGAAAGACTGACCTCAGAAAGATACATTAGAATTCTTAGAGAAGTAGTTGCCGACATTTTAAACCAGCTACCAAATAATAATTTTTGGTACCAGTTGGATGGTGCCCCAACATATTCAACATACTATGTAAATCAAGAAATTACAGCACTCTTTGAAGACCGATGGATAGGTCCAAATGGTCCTTGGCTTTGGCCTGCAAGATCGCCAGATCTAACTCCTGTTGATTTTTTTTATGGGGTCATATTAAAAATTTAGTGTACTCTACCCAAATTAATACTAAAGAAGAATTAGAGCAAAGAGTTCGGAATGCCTTTAACGAGTTAGATGGTGAAATGATTCGTAAAGCAACAACTAATCATGTTGAAAAAAGATTGTTAAAATGTTTAGAAGCTAACGGGGGGCATTTTGAACATTTGATAAAATGATTTTTTTAAACCATGTGCTTTTAATAAAAATTGTTTTTAGTTAGTATGTACCTTATCATTAAAAAAATTTAAACTTTTTAAACGACATATTTTGTTGCAGAAAACCATAAATGTTTTTGAAAGTACATCCCATCTACTACTTCTGGCTAAAATTTCAAGTATCCAACAGAAATAGTACCTGAGACAGTCGACTTTAAGAAAATGCCTACCGGCGCGACGACTAAAAATTAAAAAAAAAATGAATAACGCCAAATCCGCTATAATTAGAATAGGCAAATATGGTATCATTGTTTACAGAATTTCATGCTAAATCCTAAATTTAAAAAATATATAGGGTGTTCCCTTCAAAATAAAAAAGTTTTTTATGTTTAAAAAATTTCATTTTTAAAAATAATTTGCAAACACCAAGAAGTACATCCCATCTACTACATCTGGTTAAAATTTTAAGTATCTGATAGATATAGTACCTGAGATAGACGACTTTAAGAAAATGTCTACCGGCGACTAAAAATGTAGAAAAAAATTGAATAACGCCAAATCCGCTATAACTAGAATAGGCAAATGGGGTATCGTTGTTTACAGAATTTCATGCTGAATCTAAAATTAAAAAAAAATATGGGGTATTCCCTTTAAAATAACGAAGTTAGTGGCCACTTCCGGTATAACCGGAAGTTGCACAGAGTTCATTTTATTTTAATTCAAAAGAGCATATTCGATTATGTATACTCAGAAAATGGCGAAAATACAAATTAATTTATTCTCCATAAAGTTGTAATGCCCGCCTTACAGTGGGACACGGTGTATAAGTTTTTGTAACATGGTAGTAAAATAAAAATAAGATATGAAGATTTGATTTTATCTTGACGTGTAGCTTTTTTTAATTTTCTAGTTGAATCTTGAATTAGTTTTGTTTCTATCTGGCACTCTCATTTCCTTGGTTTTCTCGCCTGCTATTAAGAAAATCTAAAGAAAAAGCCACGTTCCCAATGCCATCGAACTTTTAGGTTCTATGGCATTGCCAAGGAATATATTATATTCATTGTGTCATCCTGAAACATTCTAATGTATCACTTCCACAACAAAAGGTCGAAGTGACAAAATGGAAACTCTTCAAAACCAATGACATATGTTATTGTTCAAAACAAGAAATATCTGACGTCAAAGAGACTCAAAGAATAGTATCTTAGAGCATATAAGACTAGATATCTCATTCAGTATATGTTGTTATTTATAAACGGAGTCATCACGTGAGGAGAGAGAGGTAGGTCCTCCATTCTCAATGGCGTATCGGTTGAAAGGGCTCCTGTTTACCATTAATGCGTCGTAATTTCATAATAACCAATAATTTAGATAATTCATTCGCATAATTAAGAGCAAAAAATTTAATTAACAATATTTAGTCTTTTTTATTTATATTTAGCTTTCGTTATACTTTGGTTTACATACATTTTTTACTGGAAATTACTGATACGTTTTAGGATTGGAACAATTTTGTTTGTTTTTTATATTTCTAACAGTTTTCTTTATTTTAGATATAGGTTTTGCCACCTTTTAATTTTTTAAAACCCGGACACGATCGACACATATTAGGGTTGCCACATTTACAAAATGAAAAACATAGATGGCAGGGGATCAGGTTAAAAAACCAAGTAATTTCACAATGATCTTATAAGATCATTGTGAAATTTCTAAAAAAAAAAAGGTCTTCAGCCAGGTCTTTCTTTGTTATACCGACTCTAGATATTGCAGATATTCCCGGATATTTTCATTTTGATGTTTATAGGGTTGATCGAAATTAGGAGTTAACACAAACGTCAAGGGGAGGAGGAGTTCTTTGTGCCCTTAAAAAAGAATTAAATGCGGTTCTGATTGATACATCTCATGTTTGTAGCTCTATTTCATTAAACAAAATTGATTTTATTCTTGTAAGAATTAAACCCCACTATCAGTGTACCTTTATTAATTTTACTCATATACATACCGCCAGCTTGTTCTGCTGATGACTATGAGGCTGTGTTCGAGACGATTTCATTACTAAATATTCTTTATGATAATCATCTTCTAGTACTAAAAGATTTCAATGTGCCAGAGTATATTTCTCAAATAAACAATTCTAGCTACTCGCCTAGATTAAACGTCGTACAATCATTTGCGAATTTTTTTAACGATAGAAAATACATATCATCGTCTGCTTGACTTAGTTTTTTCCAATTCAGCATGTCACGTATATAATATAAATCCGATAAACTAGTCTTAGATGAAGATGATTATCACCCCTTTTTGTGTATTGATGTCCCCATTAAAATTAGAGTCAAGAGCTTACAGTGTAAACCAGACTACGTGCAGTATAATTACTAAAAAGCAGATTTTCCAAAATAATACAACGCACTACTCAATATCAATTGGAATTTTCTTGATTCTGGAAGCAGCGTTGATGAAAGTGTTCAACTATTGAACAATAAATTATAATACTTTTAATAAGCATATACCTGGTAAAAAACCTAACCTTAGGACCACCCTCCGAGGTTCAATGGTCATATAATACGCATGATTTGTCAAAAAGAAAAAGCCCGAAAAACCTACAAATCCGCTTATTCTATGGATGCATTTACTAAATTTAAGAACCTTTGAGACCAAATTAAACAAGACATTTCTATAGCTCACTCCTCATATTTAGGATCAATTGAAAATAATATTAAAAATAACCCGAAACAATTCTGGTCATACATAAATTTTAAAAATTCTTCCTATTCCATACCCACTATTGAATATAGAGAAGACGGGTCCCCGAATATGAGCCATGCTGATATTATCACATCCCCAACTAGCCATTCATAAAAGTGTATTTGTTGTGAAGTTCTCATATCATCTATTGTATAGTCCAGGAGACAGTGACGATTTTCGGCATTTATTTTCCCAGTCAGCAAGCACGAATACAGAATTGTAGGATTAGCAATTCTCAGCAAAATTCATATATATTTAGAGGGGGATCCGATGGGCTGAGGCCGAAAATGCGTCAAAACATACGAGAACACAGCCCTTTTTTTCCATTGATAAAAATAGTTTTAGTAGTAAGAGATGTACTGAAGTTAAGTAAAAAAATAGTCTGATTAATCTGTATGGATAATATATTTGGCAAGTGCATAAAATACACTTTCAAACGAGTT